TTGACATTTCCTCACACATGCGTGTTCTTGTCATTTCCTCACACATACGTGTTCTTGTCATTTCCTCACACATGCTTGTTCTTGACTTTTGTCACCCCTCCTTAAATTTAAGTGTCCATCTGATGCTCCAACCCTCCGCTTCCTGCCTCCATATTCTTTAGAGACCCACACCAGCTATGGCCTAACAACATTTTTCCTCATGGGTCCTCAGCCCTCTTCAGTCTTATTTCCCCTGTGACTTCTCTTTGGGAATCTCGGCCACTGGCTGCTAGCCTGAGCCCTTGTGTTATTCACTCTTTCTAGTCCTGGCTTGGTGATGTGGAACGGGCCATGAGGATGACCCTGCGGGATTTGCTTCGGAACTGCCGAGTAGCCCTCAAGAAGTTCCTCAACAAGAGGGACAAATGGGTGAAGGAGTGGGCTGGCCAGGTGAGCTGGGGCCACACAAATGGAGCTAACGGAGCAGTATGGTGGAAAGACAGACTCCAGAGCCTCACAAACAGGGGCTTCCTGTTCCTCCTTCTGGGCTTGGCTCTCATACCCTATATAATGGAATCAGGACTCCTGACCCTAGGCACATATGCCAACCTTCAGGGTAGACTAGACATAGTAACTGGGTTCTGAAAGAGGCTGAAACTCAAGAAGGCTCTGTGTGGGTGCCTAAAGGCAGGGCCTGACAATCAGCTTCTGTACCCCCTCAGGTGGTGATTGCCGCTAGTCAGATCCAGTGGACGGCTGACGTCACCAAGTGCCTGATGACAGCTAAGGAGCGGTCAGACAAGAAAATTCTCAAGGTCATGAAGAAGAAGCAGGTGGGGAGCCCACCTGGAGTTGGAATTGGTGTATGTGGGGTGACCAGAATCAGAACTGGAGAGAGCTGGTCCAAACAAGCCAGAACAAGGGGGCTCTGTGCCTAAGTGCCAGGAACTGCAAGGAGTTGCGTGGTGTGCAACAGAGTCCGGCTCTCCTGTGTAGATGCTGGATAGAGGGATTGTAGGGCTTTGGCGTGGGGCTGGAGGGGACATTAGGTTGGGACACGATATTGTTCAGCTTTGGCTACGTCGTTCTTGACTGTTGCCCCATTCCACAGGTGTCAATACTAAATAAGTACTCAGAAGCCATCAGGGGGACCTTAACCAAGATCATGAGGCTTAAGATTGTGGCTCTGGTGACGATAGAAATCCATGCTCGCGATGTGCTGGAGAAACTGTACAAGAGCGGCCTCATGGACGTCAATGCTTTTGACTGGCTCAGCCAGCTTCGCTTCTACTGGGAGAAGGTGTCAGATGGTCAACTTGCTCCTCTCTTATTCCCAAACTGGCCCAAAATGCTTTTCATTTGTGGACGTGTGCTGTATTCTAACCCAACACTGTCTTCTCTCACAGCTCCTTTCTGGCAGCTTTTAACTTTGTCACCCCAGTTCAGGATGCTCCCTGTAGGTGCCACCCGACATGGCAGCTATTCCATGGTTTGGGGTGGGGAAAGACATGCAGTATGGAACCCATTTTCCATCTTGGCCCTAAACCATCCTCTAAAACGGGACCCCTGATCTACCTGCAGCTCTCCGACCCCTCTGGACCCTAATGGTCACCATTTCTATCTCTACTCTTTCCCTAAACCCATGTTTGTCTCATTCTGTCCTGTTTTCCCAGGATGTTGATGACTGTATAATCCGCCAGACCAACACACAGTTCCAGTATGGTTATGAGTACCTGGGGAACTCTGGCCGGCTGGTCATCACTCCCCTGACAGACAGGTCGGCTGTGGGGATGAACAGGTGTTTGGGGGAGGAGCTGCAGAGACGACAGAATCTTCCAGGAGTCTGACCTAAGTCATGTCTTAAATTCTCAGATGTTACATGACATTGACCACGGCACTGCATCTTCATCGAGGGGGGTCCCCCAAAGGTCCAGCAGGCACTGGAAAGACAGAAACGGTCAAAGACCTGGGTAAAGCCCTGGGTATATATGTCATCGTTGTCAACTGCTCCGAGGGCCTGGACTATAAGTCCATGGGCAGGATGTACTCAGGACTGGCCCAGGTCAGTACCCTCCTCCATGTCCTAAAGGTCCTTCACACATCTTTTAGTACTAAAAATCAACTGAAACCCAAATCTGTCTTGCAAGACAGCCTTGCCTCAGGTAATTCCTATAAGCGCAGTGAAGAAGTGAAACTCCTTCAGAGCCCTGAGTTTCACAGTGCATGTTTGCAAACTAAGGTCACGCGAGGGTCACATGGAGCTGTGCGGAATCTGCTCAGTGCTCTACTCAGGACGTTCGAGTTCCAACCTATAGGTGTTCTAGCCATACCCTGAGCTGTTGTCTCATGGAGGGCTCTGGCCAGAAGCTATGACCCTTCATTTCAGAGGCCACCTTTCCTACCAGATCAGTTTCAGGAAGAGTGTGTTAACCCATGCGCTAGTGCCTCAGGACACCTCTCTTGCTTTGGCAACTCTGCCTCTCCCTCCCTCCACAGACTGGAGCCTGGGGCTGCTTTGATGAATTTAACCGCATCAATATCGAGGTGCTGTCTGTGGTGGCCCAGCAGATCCTGTCCATCCTCTCCGCCTTGGCTGCCAACCTCACCCGCTTCCATTTTGAGGGCTTTGAAATAAACCTGGTGTGGTCTTGTGGGATCTTCATCACCATGAATCCTGGTAGGTGGCAGGAACTAAATGACATGAAGGTGGGGAGAAGGGGAGAATTGGGTGTCTGGGGTAAGTGTTGTGTCCTTTCCTTCTCCCTCTCTGTGCCAAAGTGCTTGGCTGTGAAATACTTGACTAAAGACTCCTGCGTTAGTCAGCTTTCCATTGCTCTGACAAAATCCCCAAGGAGACTTAGCTTAAAGCCAAAAGGTCAGTTTGGGGTCCACGGTCTCAGCCCATGGACTATCATTTCTGAGCCTCTGGTGAAGGTGAGGCAGGGTGTCATGAAGGAGCTGTGTGGTGGAACAGGACTGCTCATTTCATAGTGGCCAGGGAGGAGAGAGGGAGGGAGCGGGAGAGAGCAAGAAAGAGAGAGATTCATTGACTCATGGGTGCGCTCCAATATTTTACTTCTCTCATGTAGACCACACCTTTGAAAGTTTCCATTGATAGTCATAACTCTGTGAAGAGCAGTCCATTGATGAGGCCAGGACCCTGTGGCCTGTCTAATCTCCCCTGAGGGCTGCACCTCTGAACTGGCTTTGTTCAAACAAAGCCTCTAGGGACATTTCAGATCCAAATTACAGCCACAGTGGGAAGGAGAAGAGAAAGTACCTCCTCTCCAGTTCTCCCTGAAGGGCTGATAACCTGATAACCGCTGTGTGTCTGACAGAACCCTCATCTTCCCCGTGGGCTAGCTCCTTGCTCTGCTTTCTACCCCTTGGGAAAGTGAAAGACTCCCTAATGTGTAGGGGTTTTCATTTCATCGTGGCCCACGAGGGTCAGGAAGGGTCAGGAAAGCTCAGATCAGAGTCACAGCTGTGAGCTGTGCAGGGCCCGTGTGGGCTCTGTGTAGAACACAGCACCTCTGTGGTTGCAGTTGGAAACAGGGCAATGTGAAAAGTAAGGAGCATCTATGAGGAAAGAAGATGGGAGGAGAGGGAGCCAAGGCAGAGATGAGGAAAGAATTCCAACTTGGAGCTGGAGCCAGGGAGAATGTGAGGGATAGAGTAAAAGCTGGGTAGAGTGGGATGTTTGGAGACCAAGTGAGGACAGGGAAATGCGGTTTGAAACAAAGGATTTTGTCCCCAGGCTATGCTGGCCGCACAGAGCTTCCAGAAAACCTAAAGTCCATGTTCCGCCCAATCGCCATGGTGGTGCCCGATTCTACACTTATTGCCGAAATCATCCTCTTTGGGGAGGGCTTTGGCAACTGTAAGGTATTCTAATAATTTATTCCTTCCAATTATTTTATTTCCCTTGCATGATTATTCCCTGGACAGAGGAGCCCCAAAAGGACTCGCAATCCATTTATCCTAACAAGATCTTCGAATACTGTCAGTAGGCTGTGGAGTCAGAGGAGTCCAAAGGGGCAGGGGTCTCCCTTCCACGATGCCACTAACCAATCATAGTACAATCCACAGATCTCCTAGCACTGCCCAGAGCGCCTTCTAGATGCTTCAGGTCCCTGACCTAGATTCTTGTGGCTTAACTGTCCCCAAATGAAAAGGGGACTTGTAGGAGCTGAACTGTTGTCCTCTGTGCACGGTTCCCAGATCCTGGCCAAGAAGGTGTACACCCTGTACTCACTGGCCGTGCAGCAGCTCTCGCGACAGGATCACTACGACTTCGGCCTGCGTGCCCTCACCTCCCTCCTACGCTATGCTGGGAAGAAGCGCCGCCTGCAGCCGGATCTGTCTGATGAAGAGGTTGGCCCGGCTTGGGGCCCTTGGACCTGGTCTCCATCCTCACTAGTCTGAAGGTGTCTTCATGACGGTTTTAGACTCTTTCTTTTCCTCCTCCAGAAAGAGTTATCCCACCAGCACCCGCCCGCCCCACCTGACCCGTCCCCTCATGTTTGTCCCTGTGTGGTCCCTGTTGTGTTACCGAGGACCAGCTCTGGCCTAGCCGCTGTTGTTAGGTCTCGCCCTTCCCCACACAGGTTCTGCTGCTCTCCATGAGGGACATGAATATCGCCAAGCTGACCTCGGTGGATGTTCCGTTGTTCAATGCCATTGTGCAGGACCTTTTCCCCAACACTGAACTGCCAGTCATAGACTACGGCAAGGTATTTGCTTTTGTGCGTGTGTATGGGTGGGGGTGGGGTCAGAGGACAACTTACAGGAGTCAGGTCCCCCTTCCTCCAGGCGGGTTCTAGGGGTCAGACTCGGATAATCAGGCTTGGCTGCAGGTGCCTTTCCTCACTGAGCCACCGGCCGTCCTGCTGGCACAGTATTTATTTATTCTTTTTTTGTTTTTTTGTTTTTTTGAGACAGGTTTCTCTGTGTAACTTTGATGCCTGCCTGTCTTGGAAGTCACTCTATAGATCAGACTGGCCTCAAACTCACAGAGATCCGCAGAGATCTGCCTGCCTCTGCTTCCCGAGAGCTGGGATTAAAGGCATTTACCACCACCACCTGGTTTATTTTTTCTTTAATAAGTTCCCTGACCTCATGCGTAACTGTACATCTGGGAACAGGAAATGCGATGTCCTGAACTTCTGTCACCCACTAGGTGACACAATTGGCTCCTCCTCAAACCCATACATACAACTTCCTCTCTGACTCTGTCCTACAGGCTTCCCAACTCACTTTACTTGCTCTGTCTGTCTGTCTGTCTGTCTATCTATCTATCTATCTATCTATCTAGAGCTGTAGCCCTGACTGACCTGGAACTCCCTATATAGACCAGGCTGGCCTCATATTCTCAGAGACTGGCCTGCCTCTGCCTTCCTGTGAGTCACCACTTCAGGCTCAAGTTACTTCTTCCTACGCAACAAATCCTTGACTGAAACCCCAGCTATCTTGGCGCTATCCATCAGCCCTCCCCCCCACTTCTCCTGTCCTCACCGTGGGAACCTTGAGGAGAGCCCCCCCACACCCCCTGTGTGGTAGGTGAGAGCAGAGGAAGGGAGGAGGTGCAGAAGCTGCAAGAGCTCTCCTCTCTGCACTCTCTTGGTCCACATGCACGGAGCGATCTCTTCACTGCAGCTGCTAAAATGTTAAAACAACAGCGGCATCGCTAAAACGGCAAGAATTCCAGGGGCTTGGCGCGGAGACTTTGAGAGGCAAGCAGGTTTCAGTACTGGTATTTTCCGTGAGAACTTTGTCAATCTAAGGCGCCAGAGACAGATAGGAAGGAAAGCAGCCCAAGTCTGGAGGTGGAACAGAAAGCCCCAAGCTATGGACGCCTAGCTCCATAGGGCCACACACCCTTAGTCAACAGGAACGTGGAGAGAAACATGCTGGAGAGAAACGTGCTCGTCGGAGCCCTGGTGATGGGAGTTTCTTCAGCTCAGCCTCACACTGTTTACGGTTGTCATTTTATCCTACTGTGTAATTTAAAATCCCAAGCTTAGCCTCCTGCGTTGTCTGTGGGTTGTCAGTGCCCCCAGGTGACTGGCAGAAGCAAAGGGAAATGACTTCTGGAGGAACGGAGCCTGGCTCAGGTCCAGAAGAGGAATAACAAAGCAAATGAGCAACAGAGCCCAGAGGGCAATGCAGGCCCAGTTCAGGGGTGGAAGCTGGAAAAGGAAGGGCCAGCAGAGCGGAAGCCACTCCTGTAATCTTCAGATAGGGAGCTGAGAGCAGAGCTGTGAGCACCGGAAAGCGTGAGGAGAATATGTAGAAACGTCCAGGCGTGCTCGAGCATGTCTGCCATCTCAGCACGGTCTGGAGCTGGTGGCAGGAAGACACCACACAGTTCTTAAAAAATGTAGAATTTCAGGGCTAGAGAGACGGCACTTGCTGTCCTTAGAGGACCCAGCTTCGGTTCCCAGCTCCCACGAGGCGGTGGACAACTCTTCCAGCGGATCCTATTACCACTGACAATGTCCTGCATGTATATGGTGTACTTAACTCATGCGGACACACCATACACGTCCAAACAATAAATACATCTTTATTATTATAAAATGAACCCTCAGTGGAGAGACAGGGGACTTCCAGCTAAGGAAAGTCAGTTGTATCGCGCGTGGCAACTGTGCTAAAGACTGACTTCTAAGGTGAGCGCATCTCACCCAGAGGGCAAAGGAAGATGGAGGGAGCTAGCCCACAGGAGGCTTTAGCCCGCCCTGAGAAGTCTGGAATGGGGCAGCAGGGCAGCAATTTCAGTTTGACATTTGTGATCTAGGCAAGGGTGGGCAGGGTAGCGCGATAGAGTAAGGACGACGCTTGAGGCAAACGTCTCAATAGTTAGATCTCAGCCAGATACGGAGGTACACACCTGTAGTCCCAGCATCAGAAGGTAGAAGCAGGAGGATCCCCACAAGTTTGCGATTAGTCTGGTCTACATTGGAAGTTTGAAGCCAGCCAGAGTTCTGTAACAAGACTCCGTCTCAGAGTGGGGGGCGGGGGGAAAGCAGTTGTAAGCAGTAGTATCTCTAAGATCTGACGTCTTAATGACCGGCTGACTCTGCCTCCCCTGCTGGGTAGAGGACTGGAAGATAAAAGAGCCTGTGTCAGGCCCGGGAGCAGCCAGTATGAGCAGGAATGAGACGCTTTGACTGAGGGGACATTTGCAGACTGGCTGCTCAGACCTCCTGCTTTCTGTCATCTCTCTCAGCATAAACAACAGGAGAGTGGAAGGATTCTCTCTGGGGAATTCTTCTGACTCAAGAGGAGTGGGAGGAGTGCGAGAAGGCCCCAGAGGGACCTGCAGGCTGCTCTGCTCACAGTCTAGGAGCCCCACACCCACAGCGGAGCTTCCACAAGAAAACGGGAGTAGAGGGAGAATCAGAAATGCAAGGCCATCCTTGGCTATATAAGGAATCTGAGGATAGCCTGGACTGTACAATAATTATTACACACACACACACACACACGCACGCACACACACGCACACACACGCACACACACGCACACACACACACACACGCAGAAAACCAAAGCTCACCAATGAAAGGTGTTAGTAGTGGGAGAGAGGAAGAAAGAGTGGGGACCCTGAGTCTCATTCCTCAGGCAAGGGATCTGTTTAAATGCAGGACAGCAGACAGGGTGGTGAGGGTTCTGAAAGAGAGTACCAGGCCTGAGAAGAGGAGCAAGGTGTCCACTTTTTTCGGGTCTCTGAGAAAAGGGTTGGTCTTGTGACCCAAGTAAGCAAGCTTAGTCAACATGTGAGCTACGATCCACTTTAGAAGTAAAGGAGTGGGCTTCTGCCATTCAGACCCATGGCAGGAGATTGGGGCTTAGTTAACGTGTGACTCAGAAAAAGTGATAATAGTCAGGCTGACTTCCCACTCCACCACACACACACACACACACACACACACAGCAAAATCGGTGGAGTGGGGCTGGGGGGATGGGTGTGTCATCTAGCTGGCAGCTCTATCTACTTAGGACTTGGTTACCTGGAGGGTCAGAGTTCTTCAACAAAAGGAATGAGCCAATTGGAGAAAAAAGATAGCCCAGGGAGGAAAGTATAGCAAACACAAAACGAACAAGCCATTACTGACTGTCTCAGCTGGGGAGCGATGGACTCACCTGTAGATAGCAGTACTTGAGGCTGAGAGAGGTGTCTATGGATTCGTATCAGCCTGGGCTACCAAGACCCTACCCAGACTGAAACAAATGAATGACTATCATGATTATCAGTAAGTGAAATTCTAATGAAATGCCATTAAGAAAAAGGACTACGGCAGAGACAACAGCAGACAAGGTGGGGGGTGGGAGATAGGATTCAAAGGAAAATCTAGACAAGATAATATCCAAGGTAGAAACTTCCGGGCGGTGGTGGCACACACCTTTAATCCCAGCACTCGGGAGGCAGAGACAGGCTCTGTGAGTTCTAGGCCAGCCTGGTCTACAGAATGAGTTCCAGAACAGGCTCCATAGCTACTGAGAAACCCAATCTTGAAAAAACAGAAACAACAAAAAAGAAAAAAGCAGGTGAGCAAAAGCCACAGTAATTGTTAGAGTCCTTGGGGAAAACCAGACAGCCTGGAAGAAAAGGCCACATCCTTATCCTAATACTTGGTAGTGTTTCCCGGACACGCACCTGAGACTGAGAAACAAAGACCAAGAAGCCAAGAGAAGATCTGCCAGCTAACCACTCACCAAGAGACAAAGCTAGGCAGCCATGACAGCATAGCTTTTAAGGCAAAAAGCTTTACTGGAAATAGAGGGTCACTTCATGATAATAAAATGTTTGATTCACCAGGAAGATAAAACAGATCTAATTTGGATGTACTTAATAATAGACTCAAAAGAGCTAAAGCTGAGTCAGCTGAATGATAAGGAGACACAGACAATCACAAGACAATCCACCTCTCAGGAAGCAGGTCAGGCTGACCGCAAATCGCTGTCCAGGCGATTTCAGCAGCACCACGGGCACCTTTGAATTGATTCGTATCTAAAGAGATTTCACTCCCGAATCAAAAAACAGCCATTTCTCTCGAGCACACACAGGACATATAGAAACCCTAGCCGTGTAATCCACTGAAGCTTTGAAGGATCTTACTCGGCTTAAGTGTTCCGATTACAGTGGTAACTGCTGGTTTCAGACAAAGTGAGCTTTGAAGTTTTATGTATCATCTTTACTATCTGGGTGTGTGCACCATGTACGTGATGGGCCTGCATGCCATAGCGCATGTGTGGACGCCAGAGGACAGCCTTGTAGACTGGGTTCTCTTCTTCCCCCTTTACATGAGTTCTGGGGATCAAAAACTCAGATCAGCAAATGCCTTTAGCCTCTACACCTGATCTTGCCATCCCTAAAGCAAACAAACCTTCAGAAAGAAGCAATATTAAAAAGTAGAGGAGAAGGCCTGGAGAGACAGTTCTAGGGCTTCTGATACTGTCACACAGATATACATGCAGGTAAAACACCAATGAACATAAAATAAAAATAAGTTTAAAAAAAAGTAGAAGAGAAGCCAGGCAGTGGTGGTGCACACCATTAATGCCAACGTTCAGGAGGCAGAGGCAGGCAGAGATCTCTGTGAGTTCAAGGTCAGTCTGGTCCTGAATTCCAGGACAGCCAGAGCTGTTACACGGAGAAACCTTGTCTTGAAAAACAGAATCAGAAACAAATGAAAAGTAAAGGAGAACATTGCATAATGATAAAATGACCAATGTGTATAAAAATATACCGAATGTATGCTCACACCTATAATCTCGGTACTTGGGAGACGGAGGCCAGAGGGTCACCGAGACTCTGAAGTCAGCTTGGGCTACATGATGAACTCTAGGCTAGCCTGGGCTAGAGAGTAAGACTGTCTGAAAAACAAAACAGAAAAAGCAACCAACAAGATTCCTGGACGTAGATTCTATGTTGCTTCTTTCTGGCGTGCTCAGTTACATGGATGTTAGCATTGGAAAATCTAGTTAAGGAGATAACTTCTGTGTCTCGCAACTTTCTATGGTTTAGAAGTACCTTATGTGATTCTTTTTAAAATTAATTTATTGTTATGCATGGGGATGTTTTGTTTGCATGTGTATACCTGTGTATCCGTGCATGCCGGTCACAAAGACTGGAAGAAAATGTAGAATCCCCAGAACTGGAGTTACAGATGGTTGTGAGCTGCTGTGTGGGTGCTGGGAACTAAATCCAGGTCCTCTGGAAGAGCAGTCAGTGCTCTTAACTGCTGAGCCATCTCTCTAGCCCAGGACAGTGAGGTCTTCCAGCATGGTAAAATTACTTTGTTCCCAACTATATCTCTAGTACTTAGCACAGTGTCATAGAGGTTCAATAAATATTCGTTGAAGAATGCTAAAAACTGTATAGAGCTCCACTAGACATTGTACATACGAGGATACCGATGAATTCCTGAGGAAAAAAACTACTCAAAATTACAAAGCTGAAAGCTAAGAAACCAGGCTGATGACTTTAGAGCCCGATGTCTTTTGCTCTCCTGTGAGTGTGTGTATGTGTGTAGTGTGTGCACATGGGTATACACACACAGTGGTCATAAAAGGACACAGGCTGATCTGATCTTTACCTTATTCCTTGGAGACAGGGTCTCCCACTGACCCTAGTGCATGACTGGTCACTAGCAAGGCCCAGTGATCAAGCCCCAAAGTCTCCATTCTGCCATAGCACTGAAGCTGCAGGTTCATGTACAGCTGTGCGCAGACTTCTGTGTGGGTGCTGTGGGTCTAGATTCGGGGCCCCATGGTTGAGTAACAGATGTTGTACCCATCAAGCTGCCTCCCTAGCTCTAATGAAGCCAGCCTACCTGCCTGCCTTTTTTCCTTTCTTCCCTCCCTCCCTCCCTCTCTCTCACTTTCCCTTCCTTCCCCACTCCCTCCTGCCTTCCTTCATTCCTTGGTAGTGAGGATCAAACCCAGGGCCTTGCATATTCCAGACAAGCACCCTACCACTCAGTATCTCACCTCTGCCACCAGCCAGTGCTCAGTGAATTAACGATGGGGTTTGAGTGCAAAGACCCCAGGCACTGAAGGGTGTTTGCAAGTCCTTTGGACGACTCAGTTTTCTTCTTCCTTTCTCAGCTGCGGGACACCATTGAGCAGGAGATCCGAGAAATGGGCCTGCAGATCACACAGTTTACCCTCACCAAGGTTTTGCAGTTGTATGAAACCAAGAACTCCCGCCACTCCACCATGATTGTGGGTGGCACTGGCAGTAGCAAGACCACCTCCTGGAAAATCCTGCAGGCCTCGCTGACGTCCCTGTGCCGTGCTGGAGATCCCAACTTCAACGTTGTTAGAGTACGCAGTGGGGGCACTGACATGGCTGGCAGGTGCTGGGAGGGGCCGGCTGGACCCAAGGAGACCCAGGAGAGGGGAGCCGGTGGGGATTAGCAGGAGCTAAGAGATAGGATTGGCATAAGGGGCAGGGGCAGTGGGAGTTTGGGCTGCCAGAACCTCAGAAATCCCTTCTGGTGTCATTTTCAGGAGTTCCCTTTGAACCCGAAGGCACTGTCCTTAGGGGAACTGTATGGAGAATATGACCTCAGCACCAATGAATGGACAGATGGCATCTTGTCCAGTGTCATGCGGGCCGCATGTGCAGGTACCCAGGGGGTCCGGTGGGCAAGTGGAGATGTCAGCAGCTCCCAAGAGAGTGGGGGCCCTGGGGACAGGAAGGCACCAGCAAAGATGGAAGATGCCTAGGAAATGCCTTGCAACATGGAAGGACAAGGGGGCAGAGGGGGGAGGGGGGAGGAGAGGGGGAGGACAGGGAGAGAGAGGGGGAAGAGGGGGGAGGGAGAGTGGGCGGGAAGCGGAGAGGGACAGGGGGAGTGGAGGGACAGGGGGAGGGGAGGGAGAGGGAAGAGGGGAGAGGGAGAGGGGGGAGAGGGAAGTCTCTTGGTTCCCTTATCCACTGCCTGCGTTAAGATGAGAAGCCAGATGAGAAATGGATCCTTTTCGATGGCCCTGTGGACACACTGTGGATCGAGAGCATGAACTCTGTCATGGACGACAATAAAGTGCTGACCCTCATCAATGGAGAGCGCATCTCAATGCCGGAGCAGGTGCTGCGGAATCCCAGAGCCCTGTAGGAGGCTGGGATGGGCGGGGAGCTGAGAGGAAGATGGGGATTCAGGGCTTTTCTAGGCTGCAGGTGGGCTCCAGGGGGAGGAGAGCTTCCCTGGGCCTCTGCCTCTGGGTTCCCCAGCACAGCAGACAGGGGGAGCATTGCTACCATGGAACAGTTGTACAGGAAGAGCTTTGTGTCCTGAAATCACTGGATAGACTCAGGCTGTCCTCGGCTTCATTTCCACTGGCCTGGGAGGTGTGGCCTTCATATTCTACACCAAGGTTATGTTCTCCTGGGACACCCCACCTTTCCCCTTTAATTTCTCCTCGCTCCACCCCCCCCTCCTCTCCCCTTCTCTTTCTTTCATTTTAGATGGCATCTCACATAACCTAGGCTAGCCTTGAATTTGCTAGGTAGCTAAGGCTAACCTTGACTCCGGAGTCTCCTACCTCTGTCTCTACCTCCCAAACGCCATGTTATAGGCATCTGCCACCCACTCTTCTTCCATGCAAGCCAGAGAGTGATTTTTTTTCTGATAATTTTGAATAAGCTCTAATTTCTTGTAGAAAGTGTCTGAATCACTGTTCTATTGCTGTGACGAGACACCAGGAACCAGGCAACTGGTATAAGAAAACCATTTAACCGGGGACTCGTTTACAGTCTCAGAGGTTCAATCCACCTTCATCACGGTGGAGCATGGTGGCATGCAGGCGGACGCCGGAGCTGGAGCTGAGAGCGCTACAGTTTGCTCCAAAGGCAGAGGGGCAGAGGGACGGAGTCTGGGGTGGGCTTCTAAAAACCTCAAAGCCCTCTCCTCCCAGTGGTACACTTCCTTCAGTGAGGCCATGCCTACTTCAACAAGGCCATCCTTCCTAACATAGTGCCACTCTCTGGTGACTAAACACTCAAATACATGAACATGTGGGGTCCATTCTTCATTCAAACTACCACAGAAAGCAGCTTTTTATAAACCTCAGGACGTGTGGGGATGGTGGTGGTGCACACCTTTAATCCCTGCACTCGAAGGCAGAGGCCGAGGATCTATGTGAGTTCAAGATCAGCCTGGTCTACAAGAGCTAGTTCCAGGACAGGCTCCAAAGCCACAGAGAACTACCCGCCTCTCTCTATATATATATATGCTGAATTCTAGGGTGTTTTTATACTCTGGATGTGCTGCAGATGATGAGGTTCTGACCAAAGTCTGTATCTTTAGGTATCTCTCTTGTTTGAAGTAGAGAACCTGGCTGTGGCCTCTCCAGCCACGGTGTCTCGCTGTGGGATGGTCTACACTGACTATGTTGACCTGGGCTGGAAGCCGTATGTTCAGTCATGGCTGGACAAGCGGCCAAAGGTAAAAAGGGAATTGAGGAGAAGTGACTAGGGTGGCCCAGAGTAAACATCAGTGGACAAAGCAGAACGTCTCTTCCTGCTCACATCCAGACGGAAGTAGAGCCCCTTCAGCGCATGTTTGAAAAGTTCATCAACAAGATTCTGAACTTCAAAAAGGATAACTGCAATGAGCTCGTGCCGGTCCCCGAGTACAGCGGCATCATCTCCCTCTGTAAGCTCTACTCCGTCCTGGCCACACCAGAGAACGGGGTAAGGAGAGGAGCCCGTCCAGGCAGGGCAGGAGCCGGGGTGGGGGGGCCGGGGGGGTGAGGTGTGTGTGTCTACTCCTCCTGGACACCTTCCATTTGAACAAGGATTTGAAAGGGGAATTTAAAGGAGAGGCTTCAGCCTGACCGTGGGGGTGGGGAGCGGTGTGTGTGTGTGTGTGTGTGTGTGTGTGTGTGTGTGTGTATGGGAGAGGCTTCAGCCTGACCATGGGGGTGGGGAGGGGTGTGTGTGTGTGTATGGATGGGAGAGGCTTCAGCCTGACCGTGGGGGTGGGGTGGGGAGGGGGTGTGTGTGTGAATGTGAATGAATGAATAGCTACACATGCTTGAACATTTACTAAGCTGAAAGTCCAGACTAGGAATTGGGAATTAAATGTCACAAGGGCTAGTAGAAAACTCAGCGGCAGAGGCCTGCCTCATATTCACAGGACAGAAGGAAAAGAAAGGAAGAAACGATACGTGGCCAGCTCAAGAGGGGCTCTTCCTATAGTTCCTACTCATATTCCACTCCTTGGCTTTTTTTTTTTTTTTTTTTTTTTTTTTGTACTTTGAAAACACAGCTAATATTCCTTGGTATACCATTTCTGATGAGAAGTTCTAGAAAATTTCAGATGAATTGATAGTTAAGAAAAATTTTGTTCCATTTAGAATTGGGGAGGAAAGGCTAAAAAAAAATTGTTGTTGCTGTTGAGATGAAATTGTTGCTTTATAAAATACTTTGCATTATTTTTAACAATGTTACCAGGTAACAAAACTATGATTATATAATGAGCAGCTGTGAGTTACTCGTCATGGCCAGGAATAGTGGCATACACCTGGAACCACAGACTTATGAAGCCCACGTAGGAAGATCAGGAAGATCATGGATTCTAGGCCAGCCTGGTTTGTAAACTGAGTTCAAGGACAGCTTGCACTACACAGTGAGACCCTGCCTCAAAACAAAAGAACAAAAAGAAAAAGAAAAAGAAAAAAAAACGAGCCAGTTGTACTGGGATGTGCCATTAATCTCAGGACTCAGAAGTCAGAAGCAGGAGGAGCTCTGTGAGGTCAAGGCTAACCTGGTCTACATTGTGAATTCCAGTATAGCCAGGGCTATGTAGAGAGACCCTGTCTCAAAAAAGAAAGAAAGAAGGAAAAAGAAGGAAAGAAAGAAAAGAAAAAAGAGAAAGAAAGGTGTGGCTGGCAGTACCATGGTAATACTTATCCACCGCCTGAGTAGCATGCTCCACTAAGTCCTATCGCGTGTCTCTTCCAACCCGTCTACAAAAGTTTTTATCCCTGCCTTCTCGTCACACATGGTTGTGGTGGACAGGGCCCCGCTGACGGCTGCGGGCTCCTGGGTGAGGGCTAAGTGACCGCAGAGTCCCTGCCTCATCTAACAGGCCAGAGATCCTCTCTCTATTTTGATGGTTGAGGATTGTTACAAGGCCAAGTCTGTCATTCCACACTGGACAGAATCCTATAATCCTGTCTCTACTGTGTTCTCTGTGCAGTCCTGGCGAGCCACAGACTAATGACAAGCCTCCGACCTCTGCCTCTCAGAGGTAGATTATAAGCATGTGCAGATTTATCTGTAGTCCCAAGCATCACTGCCAAGAGCTCCTCAGTTCTGGCCGCGGCTGCGCCTCTGTGATATGTCAGAGATGGCGGGAAGATGCTGAGTTGGTGGGCTGTTTCCCACACACGGAGTCAGGCAGCCCTCTGGGCTCCAGGCCGACTTCCAGAACAACAGCATCTGTCATGGACCCCTCAGGCAGGGAAGGGAGACCATGGGCTCTGAGTAGGATGTGTTCACTAGTGAGCTGGAATGATTTAAACTTAATTTAAACTTAAACTATGTCATGCTGGCAGCTTGGATCCTTCTGACAAAGGTGCACGCCACCATGCATGACTAAGCTTAGTATTATTGCTGTATTTGGTGTGTACATATTTATGAGTATGTGTGTATGTGTGCGCATGTGCACATGGAGACAGAAGGCAACATCAGGTGTCTTCATCTTCCTTTGTCACTCTTCCTCTTACTTTGTTTTCTGAGGCAAGATTTCTCACTGAACCTGGAACTTCCTGATTTGGCTAGACTGGCCAGCCTGCAAGCCCCAGGGATCCTCCTGACTCTGCCTCCCCGGTGTGTTGATTATGGGTGTGAGCAGTTGCACCTGGCTATTTTTTGTTTGTTTGTTTGGTTTTGGTTTTTTGACACAGAGTTTCTCTGTGTAACAGCCCTGGCTGTCCTGGAACTTGATTTGTAGATCAGGTTGGTCTCGAACTTACAGAGAACAGAGATCCACCTGCTTCTGCCTCCCGAGTGCTGAGATTAAAGGCATGCACTACCACTGCCCGAATCCAAAGCTAAAATTTAATTTTGTAAGTAATCATTGAGTTTAGTTTCTTTTTAAAAATTAGATGTTTCTTTCCCCTTTTAAAGACAGGATCTGGCTATATAGCCTTGAACTTTTGATCCTTGCGCCTTCTCTGTGCTGGGATTGCAGACCTGAGCCATCATAGCAGGCTTTTCAAGCCATGTTCGTTCATCTCTCCCTTCCTAATTTGTTTTCTTTTCCCCTTACAGAAGTAACTACTGAAGTACGTTTGTATCATTTTAGGTGCATTAAAGGTGCTCAAAGCCAGTGGTACAAAGCCTCCTGGGTCTACACAGGGAATTGCAGGCCAGCCTGGACTGTACAGGAAGACCTTGTCCCAAAAACAAAGAAAACAAGACAAGACAAAACAAAACAAAACCAAAAAACAAACACCTAATCAAACAAACAAAAACTCTTGTTGACATAAGGCCCCACAAATACCCATAGATGTTGTTCTGCTCAGGAAATAGACTATGGTGTGGTGTGATAATGCATACCCTAAATCTCAGCTTTTAGGAGTCAGACACAGATGAGCCCCATAAATGTGAGACCAGCCTGTTCTACATAGCTGTCCCAGGACAGCCGGGGCTCAGAAACAAAACAAACGAACAAAAAAACCAAGAAATGAATGTTGATACATGCAACATGCTTGTCAAAGCGAAAGCATGACGTTGAGTTGAGTACCGCGATGTGCAGGTGCACATCCATGTTAATCCCTGTGTTTTACTTCTCCTTCCTCTACGGGTAGATGTTTAGGTCATTTCCAATTACAAACAGGTCACCACATGTCTGTCTCCTTGAACACCCAGTTAAACATGAGTGCTCCTCCAGGGCAGGCCTAGGGTGGCCAGATGACAGTTGTGTTCTTAAGACTTAGCCTAGAGGCAGCTCTGAGCCAAGGCAGTGCTGTAAGGAGTCCCAGATTTTATCTCAAATTCGTGAGTAAGTTGTAGACGAACAAGACATCTGGAAAGCAGTCACGCGTTCCCACACAGAACCAGGAGAGAAGGTTTCTGCTAGACTAGGTCTTTAAATCTCCTATAGGCGCGGCTTCTGTATCTTGAGGAATGAAGTTTGTTTCAAGGCAAGTTCAGCGCGCTGGGCTCCTGAACCTTTTCTCTTCTCTGCCCAGTTGAACCCAGCCGACACTGATAACTATGCCTTTATGGTGGAGATGACGTTTGTGTTCAGCATGATCTGGTCTGTGTGTGCCTCTGTGGATGAGGATGGTCGCAAGAAGATTGACAGTTACCTTCGGGAAATCGAGGGCTCTTTTCCCAATAAGGTCAGGGTTCTTAAAGCTAGCTGCCCCGTATGTCCTACGTTTCCGGGACTTGCAAGGCATCGCTGGTCTTCAGACTCTGCCTGGCCTCCCACTTTGCTGCCACTCTCTTCCTCCCCGTCAGTCCACAAGCCCTCTCTCTGCCTGGTCAGAGCTGACGGAGTCCGGAAGCATGACTCATCTTCTTTCCTTAGGATACAGTATATGAATACTTCGTGAACCCCAAGATGCGGACTTGGACATCATTTGAGGAGAAGCTCCCAAAGAGTTGGCGTTATCCTCCAAAGTGAGAGCAGAGCCTGGGGTTTGCGTAGGGCTTGGTCCTGCAATCGGTGGCAGATATGTCAAAGGTGATGGGGTCAGAAGCCAGGGTGAACAGCGAAAGGAGAAAGCCAACTCCAGGGAAGAGACGACTGGGTTTAGGAAGTAAGGTCTAGGGGACTCGGAACAGGGCCTTCAAGGAGAATGCCACACCTCCAGGACCTAGAGGGCAGGACGGGTGAGTAGACCATGGTGGCACCAGAAGAAAATAAATGCTAAGAGGAAGGAGGAAGTGAAAGCTAAATGGGGGCAGCCAAATGGTCCTTAAGACAGACACCGTTCCTTCTTCCCTAGCGCACCTTTCTATAAGATCATGGTACCTACTGTCGATACCGTCCGATACAACTATCTAGTCAGCACCTTGGTGGCCAACCAGAATCCGGTCTTGCTGGTGGGTCCTGTAGGAACTGGAAAGACCTCCATAGCCCAGAGTGTTCTGCAGTCCTTGCCCTCCAGCCAGTGGTCAGTGCTCATTGTCAACATGTCTGCACAGGTATGTCAGGGGGCTTGGACTGCCAGCTCCTTGCCATCGGCTCTCTCCTGGAACGCAGGTGCTCAGCTGACAGGCCTTCATGGTCCCTTGTTACTCTGGGGACCCTCCCATCTGCTCTGTGCCCTCCCACCAGACTACATCATGATCCCTTGTTTCTCTGGGGACCCCCATATCTGCTGTGCCCTCCCACCAGACTACATCATGGTCCCTGGTTTCTCTGAGGACCCTCACATCTGCTCTGCCCTCCCACCAGACTACATCGAACAACGTGCAGAGCATCATCGAGAGCAGAGTGGAGAAGCGAACCAAGGGTGTGTATGTGCCATTCGGGGGCAAAAGCATGATCACCTTTATGGATGACCTAAACATGCCTGCTAAGGACATGTTTGGGTCCCAGCCACCCCTGGAGCTGATACGCCTCTGGATTGACTATGGCTTCTGGTATGATCGCCTGAAGCAGAGCATCAAGCACATTCGTGTAAGCACCTGAGACTATTCTCTCCTGTGCTAGGCGAACCCAGTCCCAGCTCCCCTGGGCCCTAGGGTTCTTCCCTATGCAGGACTGCACTGTCCCTCCAGGGGGCCCATACATCTGGCTCCTGAGTTGCTGATCCCCATTGTAACTCTCCTCACTGAGTCTGTCCTCCACTTGGTGGCCTGAGAGGCTCGTTCTTCATGTCACCTGGCCTCCAGGCCTCCTCTCCTCACCCACATGTCAGCAAAGTCCTCAGAGCCAGGTCTTAACCCCATGTTCACAGACTCTTCTCCTTTTCCCAGGCTTGCCGTAACCCCCACCCACAGCCCAGACATCTCCCTTCTGTCGTCGCTCTCCTCTTGCGGGATTAGGACTCTCTTACTGGACTTTCTCTCTTCTTTCTTTTTCTTTTCTTCTTTTCCTCTCTTTTCTTAAAGACAGGGTCTTTCTATGTTGTATTTCTGGCTGTCCTGGAACTCACTCTGTAGACCAGGCTGGTCTCTTGAACTCACAGAGATTCTCCTGGCTCTGCCTCCTGAGTTCAGGGATTTGAGACACAGCGTCCCACTGTGCCCAGCCAGCATAATGTTTTAATACATGCAATATTAATTGTGTAAATTAATGTAAATGTGATATAGATGTGTAATGATCTAGCATCTCGGACGTGGACTATTTCTATTAGAAACATTCAGGGTCCTAGCTGTCATGAAACATCACCACTGTTCCTGTCTCTCTTCATCCTACTGTGTCTCCGCCATCTTTGTCTCTGCTCTCTAGGACATGTTCCTGATGGCCGCCATGGGCCCTCCAGGGGGTGGACGGACTGTCATCTCCCCGAGGCTGCAGAGCAGATTCAACATTATCAACATGACCTTCCCCACTGTGAGGCCATGGGGGGTGGGATGGGGAGTGGGGATGGGGTCTGTGCCTGGCAAAACCATCCCAGGCCCATGGAGTGAGGGAGCAGATCAAGCCAGGCCACTGAGCCTTGAGCAGAGTTGCTTTCAGGGAGCTGTGGACAAGCAGAGGTGGGGCCCTCTGTGGAAGCCTTGGCATCTGAGCCAGGACAGCTGCAGGGTTTTCAAGTGTGGCCTGCTGGCTCTGGAATGTGGAGCTTGTGGTCTTCATGGACAGAGAACGCCTGGGGTGGAAGCAAACTCAGGAAGGTGGATCTTAAAAAGCCAACAGCCAAAGCGGTGCTAGGGTTAGGGAGAGGCGAGTGCAAGCTTAAGGGGACTGAAAGCCAAAGTCACATAAAACGCAGCAGGAGAAATATTCTTTTCTTCGTTTTTGAGACAAGGTCGCACTAAATGTAGGCCGAGGTGGCTTTAAAACTCAACCCTTTCTACCTCAGCCTCCCAAATGCCACATTTATAAGCGTGTATCGCTATACCTGGCTCTTAATTAAATATTTTCTTCAAATTAATATTAAGTCAAATTTGGGTGGTGGTGGCGCACACCTTTAATCCCAGCACTAGGGAGGCAGAGGCAGGTGGATCTCTGTGAGTTCGAGACCAGCCTGGTCTACAGAGCAAGTTCCAGGACTGGTTCCATAGCTACAGAGAAACCCTATCTCAAAAAAAAAAACAAACAAACAAACAAATAAATAAATAAATAAAATTAAATCAAGTAGGTAAAGGCACCTGCCACCAAGTCTTACAGCCTGAGCCCTATCCCTGGGGCCTATGCGGTGGGAGGAGAGAAGAACCATCTCACACAGATTGGCCTATAATCTCCACACGTGTGCTGTAGCAGGCATGCACATACCCACATACAGATATGTAAAATTAACTTTAAAAATAAAAGTAATGTAAAAAGTTCTCCATGAACAAGATACCAAAATTCCACATGTAAAATCCGTACAGTGCGCTACTGAGCCACAGTGAAGCCCAGGATGAAAGAAGAGCCAATGGTACCGACCCGTCTCTATTTAGAATGTTTGTTTATTATGGATATTTTTCATAAAAATGATTTCTCAGTGGTGTTTTTGTTTGTTTGATTAATGCTTCTTCAGTTCTGCCATGAGAGAGCCCTATGTTTGCCTCACCCTGGCCCTGGCTGCGGGCCCAGGAGCCCTGGAAAGTGAGTCTGAGGTCTCTTTCCAGGAATCGCAGATCATCCGCATATTTGGCACCATGATCAACCAGAAGCTTCAGGACTTTGAGGAGGAGGTAAAGCCCATCGGGAACGTGGTGACAGAGGCCACTTTGGATGTGTACAACACGGTGGTGCAGCGCTTCCTGCCCACTCCCGCTAAGATCCATTACCTCTTCAACCTCCGGGACATCTCCAAGGTCAGCATTGCTCTGACCTCTGCACTTTGACCTTGTGCAGCCTCCTCAGCCCCTGCTGCTACTGCTTCCTCTTCCTTGGTTTGTTTGTTTTTGTTTGTTTGTTTGATTTTTGAGACAGGGTTTCTCTGTGTAGCCCTGGCTGTCCTGGAACTCTGCTCTGTAGACCAGGCTGGCCTCGAACTCACAGAGATCTGTCTGCCTCTGCCTCCTGAGTGCTGAGATTAAAGGCGTGTGCCACCACCATCCTTTTCTTAAAATAAGCCTTCGCACTCCATAGTAGAGCCTCAGTAGTTAAGAACACTGACTGTTCTTGCAGAGGACTTAGGTTCCGTTCCCAGCACCCACATGGTGACTCATAACTGTCTATAACTCCAGTTCTTCCGGCCTCTGCGGGCACGGCATGCATGCGGTACACAGACATACATGTAGACACAGACTCATACAATGTACATAAAATAAAAATAAATCTTTTTTTTTCTTTTAAGAAGAATGCCATAGCTAGGAGCTGGGGAGATGGATGGGGTCAGCCATTAGGAATGCTTTCTGTTCTGTTTGGTTTTGTTTTTTGTTTGGTTATTTTTGAGATAGAGTTTCACTGTATAGCCCTGGCTGTCTTGGAACTCACTATGTAGACCAGGATGGCCTCAAACTCACAGAGATCCACTTGCCTTTGCCTCTGAATACTGGGATTAAAGGTGTGTGCCACCATGTCCAGTGTACTTTCCGTTCTTGCAGAGGCCCGAGTTTGTCCCCGGCACCCATACTGAGTGGCTCATAACCACCAGTAACTCCAGCTCTGGGGAGCTCAGTGCCTTTTTTTTCTGGCCACTGTGGGCTCCTGCACATATGTGACACACACACAAATATACATACATACACATATATTTTTTAAGATTTATTATTATACATACCATGTTCTATCTGCCTGTATGACTACACACCAGAAGAGGGCACCAGATCTCATTACAGGTGGTTGTGAGCCACCATGTGGGTGCTGGGAATTTAACTCAGAACCTCTGGAAGAGCAGCCAGTGCTCTTAACTTCTGAGCCATCTCTTCAGCCCCACATAATTGATTTTTAATCTTTAAAAACTAAAAATAGAATTCCACAGCAAAGCATGCACCAATCACTTCTGAGATGGCGCACAGCCATGCTTTCTGCTCTCCTCCAGACCGACAAAGGATCTCTCTCTGCCTTTTACCCCAGTCACTGTTCCAACTTTCCAGGTTTTCCAGGGCATGCTTAGAGCGAACAAGGACTTCCATGATACCAAGTCCAGCATCACCAGACTCTGGATCCATGAGTGTTTCAGGTGATGTGTCCTTGTGCCCTGGTCAGATGCACTTCCCCGGCTGCCGGCCAATCCCTGCCTTCCCCAGGGCTGTTCTCCTCTTTAGCCCTAAGTCCCTCCCCAACTGTTTCTCCACAGAGTCTTCTCAGACAGACTGGTTGATGCAACGGACATGGAAGCCTTCGTGGGCATCTTAAGTGACAAACTCGGCACCTTCTTTGACCTCACATTTCATAATCTCTGCCCCAACAAACGTTCTCCTATCTTTGGTGAGTCAGGAGCTAGGACTGCTTTGGGTCTTAGGAGGTTGGGGTTAGAAGGCCAGGGCATGGATTGCCAATGCTAATGGCCTTAAGGGACCTCTGGGAGGACCAGGTGTTGGGGACTCTGATGCCTTTCTCCCATGGCCTAGGGGACTTCATGAAGGAGCCCAAGGTCTATGAAGACCTGGTAGATCTGACGGTCTTGAAGGCAGCCATGGAAACGGCCCTAAATGAGTACAATCTTTCCCCCTCTGTTGTGCCAATGCAGCTGGTGCTCTTCCGAGAGGCCATTGAACACAGTAAGTGCTGGCTACTCCGGGCCCTTCGCTCCTCCCACCCACGGCTTCCCTGCAAAGGGCTCTCCCAAGTCAAGCTCTAGAGTCCTTTTCATTTCTGGTCCAACATATTCTTGTCCCAGTGAAGTCTGTTTGCTTACTCATTTTTGTTTTTGAGACAGGGTCTTTCAGCGTGGCCCTAGCTGGTTTGAAAATAAGTATCTAGAGTAAGCTGGTCTTCAGCTTGTGACCCTCCTGTCTACGCTACCACACCTATCACAAGGGTGTTTAGTGGGCCAGGTGAAGGCTAAAACTGAGTCACCACCAGAGCCTGGGGCCCCAACCTCTTCTTCTTACTTGACTCCTCTGCTTCAGCCTCAGAGGTTTTGGTCCCCAACCTAGGACATGGAAGTTGGTTGGGATTGCTCACCCCGTGCATTGCCCCTATCCCACTCCCCAGTCACGCGGATTGTGCGGGTAATTGGACAGCCTCGAGGCAACATGCTCTTGGTGGGGATTGGGGGCAGTGGACGGCAGAGTCTGGCCCGCTTGGCCTCTTCCATCTGCGAGTACAACACGTTCCAGATCGAGGTCACCAAACACTATCGCAAACAGGAGTTCCGAGAAGGTATGCCTGGGTTCCTGACCTGGAATAGGGTGGAGGTTTGAGAATGGAGGATGACCTGCTTGAGTGACCGCCATGCAAGGTGGTGAGATGCCCCTGGCCACTGCATGCCCGGCATAGGACGGTGGCGTGGCTCCTGTGGGTCCTTATGGGCTAAGGGAGGGTCCTGAAGCGTGGAAGACGAGGATGGTGCGTGTAAAGGAAGTCTTTGCCTTGTCTTTTTCTTGCTTGTCCAGATATCAAGCGCCTGTATCGCCAGGCGGGGGTGGAGCTCAAGACCACGTCCTTCCTTTTTGTGGACACCCAAATAGCTGATGAATCCTTCCTAGAAGACATCAACAACATCCTTAGCTCAGGAGAAGTCCCCAATCTCTACAAATCTGACGAATTTGAAGAGGTACAGTTCCTTCAGTACTAGGTTGGCTCTTTGGCTTTTCTAACAATCATCAGAACCACAGACTCCATGTCTGTTTCTGTACCATCCCCAGCCGTCAGGTCAGGCCCTGTGAGACTGAAGGGTCACCTCTCACCATTCATTCCCCCCAGGCCACAGTCTGCCAGCCTAACCTCTGTGGTGAGTGCTCTGACTCACTGTGGCTTTTGTCCAGATCCAGAGCCAGATCATAGACCAGGCCCGGGCAGAGCAGATATCAGAATCCTCCGACAGCCTCTTCGCCTACCTCATTGAGCGCGTGCGGAACAACCTGCACATCGTGCTGTGCCTAAGCCCAGTGGGAGACCCCTTCAGGTGACGCTGCCTGTTAGGGTGTCCCATGTGACTCCCTCCACAGGTCCGTAGTGTTAGGTACCCATATTGTTCTGGAACAGCCCACTAGAGCCCATTTTCCCAGACTCAAAATCCTTACCCAGCAGAGAGTGACTCCCTACCCCCAGCTTCCAGAAACTTCCTTTCTACTTTTCATCTCTGAATTTGGTGGCTTTTGACGACACGTGGAATGGTGACTTACTTACTTCACTTCTATTATGTCCTCAAGCTTCATCCATATTGTACTGTAGGACAAGATTGTCTTCTTTTTTGTTAGAGGATAAATAGAATTGCATAGTATGTGTACATAACAATTTTTATCCATTCTTGGTATAAGTAGATATTTCAGGACAATCAGATCTAGGAGGAGGAGGTTGGGCAAGACAGTGCACACCTATAATCTCAGAACTCTGGTGGCTAAAGCAAGAAGATTGCTGCAAATTTGAAGCCAGCCTGGGCTACATAGCAAGAACCAGTGGAGCCAGGGCTGTATGTGAGACCCTGTCTTTAAGAAAGGGGGGGGGCTTGGAGAGATGGCTCAGTGGTTAAGAGCACTGACTGCTCTTCCAGAGGACCTGGGTTCAATTCCCTGCACCCACAGGGCAGCACACAACTGTCTGTAACTCCAAGATCTGACACCTTCACACAGACATACATGCTGGCAAAACGCCAATGCATATAAAATAAAAATAAATAAAAAATTCAAAAATAAAACCAAAATAAACTTATGAAGAGGACAAGACAAACTGGGTTACTGTTTTGCTTATGTTTTTAATTTTATGACATATGGTGTATTTATCACAGGGGTGGCATGCTAAGCATTCTTCTTGGGTTACCTCACCAAATTCCCAACAATCTTGGTATATACTGTTAATCCCCTTCTAAGGCTGAGGAAAGTGATGTCTGAGTATGTTAGATACTTGCTCAAGATCAACATCTGCAAAATGTGGATCTGGGCCTTTCTGATCGGAGGCCATTTCTAAATGTTGTGCGGGACTGTGTGTGCGGAGATAAATCCACACGAGGAGGAGGAGGATGGGGCCCCCAGGATCTGCAAAGCAGTTGGGCATGTATTAGGAAGCTAAGGGCGTCAGTGCGGAGATTTAATGCCCTCGCCTTCTCTCTAGGAACTGGATTCGTCAGTACCCAGCCCTGGTGAACTGCACGACCATCAACTGGTTCTCAGAGTGGCCCCGGGAGGCCTTGTTAGAGGTGGCTGAGAAATACCTGATAGGCGTGGACTTGGGGACACAGGAGAATGTGAGCCCTTCCCCCCAAAGTTGGCCACACCCACACCTCCCCTCCATCCCCTGATCCACACCCTGACTTCCACTCTATACTGTTCACTTCAGATCCACAGGAAAGTGGCCCAGATCTTTGTCACCATGCACTGGTCTGTGGCTCAGTATTCCCAGAAGATGCTGTTGGAACTGCGGAGACACAACTATGTCACACCCACAAACTACCTGGAGCTCGTGTCTGGGTATAAAAAGTACGGAAACCGGGAGATAAGGAGGGCAGGGGGCTGTCTTTCAAAAGTGTTGATTGGTGAAAATACCCAGAATGTGGCCAAGGAGAGAGGCTGGAGGATGTGGGCACTAAGGTGGGATGGCAGAGTCACAGAGGGTCTTAATTGTTCCCTGGAAGTTAATGAGAGGAGGGGCTTCTGTGGGGAGGGCCTTTGCTAGACCTCCAGTCACGGCCCAAAGCTCCAGTGCCTCCTCATACCCTGTCTGTCCTTATTTACTGGGACGGTTCTCTATATTTTCCAGAGTTTACCATAATGTTTGTAATCTTTCCCTCTCTCCCTCTAGGGTCCCTTAGGCTGGCCATTTGTATGAAATATCTAGGCATAGTGACACATGCCTATAAGCCCCCACTAGGAAGCCTGATGTAGGAGGATTATGAATTCAAGGACAGTCTGGCTATGTACAAGGATCTTGTCTCAAAAATACACAAGGCTGGGAGTGGTGGCGCCTGCTTTAGCTCTCAGGAGGCAGAGGCAGGTGAATCTCTATGAGTTTGAGGCTAGTCTGGTCTACACAGTAAGATCTAAGACAACCAGGGCTACATAGTGATACCCTGTTTGAAAAAAAATAAATCAAATTAAAAATACACAAGCAAATAGGGCCAGAGATACAGATCCATATGTGTGTGCCCTAGCACACGAATATAACCAAAATGAAAAATACAAGCAGCGCAGACCAACCAGAAAAAGTGAAGTGTTTTCTGCCCTCGCATCTAACCCAGTACTTCGCTTTGAACACAGTGACTGAGCGTCTTACAATTCAGCTTGATCCTACACTGTCTACTTGGAGTTAGAATCAGATTGCACAGGCTGAGGCCTCGGGCCCCACTTCAGGTGCAGAGACCAAGCCCCATGCTGTTTCAGATGTCTGTCTGTCAGTTCCTCGGCTGAGCCGAGTGGTTTGTGGAAGTCAGGGGAACACTATTGCTGGCTTATTAGGAAGGGTATTTTATCTTATTTGACTTTCCTCCAGACAGTGTCTCACATACGCAGCCCAGCCTGGCTCTGAACTCACTATGTAGCTGAGGATAACCTCACAGCAATTCTTCTGCCTCAGCCACCCTAGGACTGGGGTCACAAGCATGACCCACTGCAGTCACATGGATTGGGTGTTTTGATTAAAGCTGGAAAAAAAAGCAATTTGTAAAAACGATAATAGCATAAATTCACCCATTTGACATGTATTTTTAAGCACCTACTGTGTGCTAGGCATTGTTTCCTAGTGCTGTATGGGTGAGCCCTGTGTGTCCGAACATACAGGGTAACATTTCCCCTTTTTCTATTTACCAATCATTTTAAAAGTTTATGTTATGTGCATTGGTGTCAGATCCCCTGGAACTGGAGTTACAGACAGTTGTGAGCTGCCGTGTGGGCGCTGGGAATTGAACCTGGGTCCTCTGGAAGAGCATCCAGTGCTTTTAACCACTGAGCCCCATGTCTCCAGCCCCACCAATCATTTTGATAAACCCTTTAGTCCAGGAAATACCCACATATTTATTTTTAAAAAATTCCGATTTCTGGCTTCTCTGTAAGCAGAAATGTAGGAAGATTGTCTTTTCGTTGATTCCTACGGAGAGAGGGAGAGGCTCAGTGGGGCTCACTTGCCCCCTTTGGGTGGGTTCATGTTTTCTGGACCATTGCAGTCCAGCTGCCTGCTGCACGATGTGGTCCCCGGAAGAGCCCGAGGTAGGAGAAGTAATGTGTCAGAATGGTTCTCAACAACCTGACTCCGACCATGGTGTAGAGAACAAGTGAGAGGGAGAAGAAGACCTGTGAAGAGTTTGTTGGAAATGCTAACGACCTGACCAAGCTATGTAAAGGCAGGAAGCAGACTGTGTTCGTGTGTGAGGGCAGAAAGAGAGAGACTGAGGTGTTTGAGGAAGGACCGTTATGGAGGACACCTCCTTTCTCAGAGCGTCTCCACACACACAGCTTACCTCAAGCTCCTCTACAGGCTTCTCGGAGAAAAACGGCAGGAGCTGCTGGACCAAGCCAATAAGCTGCGGACTGGATTATTTAAGATCGATGAAACCAGAGAAAAAGTAGAAGTGATGTCCCTGGAGCTGGAGGATGCCAAGAAAAAGGTGGCCGAGTTCCAGAAACAGTGCGAAGAGTACCTGGTCATCATAGTGCAGCAGAAGCGGGAAGCGGACGAGCAGCAGAAGGTCAGAGGTCCTGCCCCTGCGCCACTCTGCCAGGGTCCCCAGGAAGAGGCTTCCTGGCCCCATCACTTACCCCCTCCTCACCTCTTCCTTGGTTTCCTGTCCATCCTTCTCATCGGCTCTGTCGCCCCCCGCCTTTGCTCAAGACAAAGGCAAAGTCCTGTATCTTCTTTTCATCTCTAGGCAGTCACTGCCAACAGTGAGAAGATTGCTATTGAGGAAGTCAAGTGTCAGGCACTGGCAGACAATGCCCAGAAGGATCTAGAGGAGGCATTGCCTGCCCTTGAAGAAGCCATGCGGGTACCAGAGGCTGCCATTACATGGTGCAGGAGTGGGGATGGGGCCAGCCTTCTTTGCCCTCAGAGTCACTGGGAAGTGGGGGTGGGCGGGAGAAGGTGGCATCGTAGTCGGCCCTGGCCCTGTGTTCGGGAAGGACTCGTCTTGCTATCTGAGTTGACTCTGGCCCAGTTCTCTCAGTTAATCCCTTTCTCCAGGCTTTGGAGTCTCTGAACAAGAAGGATATAGGTGAAATCAAGTCGTATGGAAGACCCCCTGCCCAGGTGGAGATGGTAATGCAGGCAGTCATGATTCTCCGAGGCAATGAGCCCACGTGGGCAGAGGCAAAGCGGCAGTTAGGTAAGCAGAGGACATTGTTGGAAGAGACTTCCATTTGTCCGGTGTTTATTGATCAAGTGTAGTTCATCATCTGCAAGGGCCATCTGAGGTGCCAGAGACCCCCTCAGGCCTTCCACAAAGGCCACCCCCCACAGACCTTCTGTTAGGGCCCTCTGAGATGCCAGAGACCCTCTCAGACCTTCTGTAAGGGCCGTCTGAGGTACTGTAGACCCTGTCCCCGCAGGAGCACAGAGATTAAGAGGGAAGACCTTAAACATTTGTTGGGATTCTTTAGGAGTTTATAGCAGGAACTGGCTCCTCTCACCATAACCAGAAGAAAATCATTCTGAAGCAATCAGAATGCATGGGAAGATCCAAGGGCAAGAATGCCTCCATGCCAAAGAAGGACAAGAATAGAAAATAAGAAATGACTCTTCTGTCTTTCTCTGTGTCTCTGTCTCACTTCCTTACTCTTTCTTTATGTATATGTGCCATCATGTTCATGTGTGAGATGTGTGAGTGCATGTGTGCAGGCATGTGTGTGTGTGTGTGTGTCTGTCTGTCTGTCTGTCTATGAGGGTCAAAAGTCAGTGATGGGTGTTGTTCCTCAGGAACTGTTTGCCTGTTTTGTTTTTGAAACAGGGTGTCTAACTGTGGTCTGGGGTCGCTGGTTACCCAGGCTGACTCACTAGGCACTCTGCTTCCCAGTGCTAGTGATGTAGATTGTAGATGCTTGCTACCATACCTACCTTTTTACTTAAGTTTTGGGAATCAAACACTTCACGCGTGTTTTAAGCACTTTACTGACCACGCCATCTGTCTGGCCTCGGGACTCTAGTTTCAATCTGTGGCTTCCTCAGCTTTGGGTTCCCACAGCAGAATGTAGCTACAGTTCGTCAGTTTTTGTCCAGAAGAAAGTACACAGCACATAAAAGGAATGCCGGGTAGGGCGATTTAACTGTTTGTCAAGGGAAGGGAGTAGGAGATGAGGCTGGGGAGATCGAGGGGGTCCTGGGGGCCGAGAGGATGCCAGCGAAAGGAGCAAGATCAGAAGGGGTCAAATATCTTGGCCTTGGGAACTGGAAAACAATAAGGAGTGGCGGTAGAGCGGGGCAAGAATAGGATTTGGTCCTCTGGGTGAGGCCTCAAAATGTCATACCACAGGCGAACAGAATTTCATCAAGTCGCTGATCAACTTTGACAAAGACAACATCTCAGATAAGGTGCTGAAGAAGATTGGTGCCTACTGTGCCCAGCCTGACTTCCAGCCTGATATTATCGGCAGAGTCTCCCTGGCTGCTAAATCCCTCTGCATGTGGGTGCGGGCCATGGAGGTAGGTGGTGGCCAGAGTGTGTGGGAACCAAGGGGCAGTCCTGGACAAGCTGGGGGGTGGCGGGCACAGAGGAGAAGGAAGGTGCTTGGTGGGTTGTGGGTTGGTGATTGGTTGGAGTCCCCGAAGCCTGGCTGTCTTCTCACAGTTGTATGGGCGTCTGTACCGAGTGGTTGAGCCCAAGAGGATCCGCATGAATGCCGCCCTGGCCCAGCTTCAGGAGAAGCAAGCAGCCTTAGCGGAGGCCCAGGAAAAGCTGCGGGAGGTGAGCTTCCCTCTGGCCTTTTGGAGCTGTTCATTTCTCTCTTCATGACCATCTTTCCCCACTCAATGCTGCACCCAACTCTGTTACCATGCAGCAGTGAGCTCTCTTCCCCTGCTCCAGGTCTTGTTTAGGTCTGTCTGAAGCATACGGTGCAGAAGGCTCCCAGGGGCCCTGTGTCTCTGTGGGTCACAGGACACTGTTGCCCCAGACTCCTTCCGGAGATCGACAGTTACCTCTGTCACAGCCTTGGCTAGGCTTTGGGATATTGACTGACAGCGTGTGGGTAGCGGGTCAGTTTCCGACAAGGGAATGGGTCAGTAGGGTCAAGATGGCAACTGTGAGCCTGGAATGGCAGGAGGGGTGTCTGTACTTGGTGAGGGTAGGGCTGTCTAGAAGTTGGGGAAGGTAGACAAGGTAGACAGCTTCCTACAGGATGCATTCACAGCTGACTTCTAACCATGAAGAACAGTCAAGTACTACTATCAAAAGAATTCAGAACTCCTTGTCTGCCATTTGATTTTTAAAATCATAGCTTTAAGAGATAATGTGCAAGCTGTGGTGGCACATGTGTTTAGTGCCAGCTCTCGGAAGAAAGGGCAGGCGGATCTCTGTGAGTTGGAGGCCAGCCTGGTCTACAGAGTGAGTTCCAGGACAATCAGGGCGATATAAAGAGACCTGTCTCAACAACAAAGTGATAATGTATACAACTTTATCACTAAAGTTGTATCTAGGAACAACTTTGTTCCTAGATAATATACTCATGTTGAAATTAACTTGAAATTCAAAGGTACAGAAGAATATACAATATAAAGTCTTCCCACCTTCTACTCTGTAGCATTCAACTTCACTCCATGAAAGCAACCAATTTTTACAAAACTCATCCTTCCTTCCAAAGATGATCTGTGTTAATATCAGTGTATGCACACATGCACGCAGAAATATGTGCACGTGCGTACACACACACACACACACACACACACACACACAAATACACATGCATACAGACTTGTGGTGATTTGAATGAAAATGGCCCCCACAGGTTCATATATTTGAATGCTTAGTCACCAGGAAGAGGAACTCTTTGAAAGGGTTGGAAGGATTTATTTATTTATTTTGGTTTTTCTGAGGCAGGGTCTCTCTGTGTAACAGCTCTAGCTGTCCTGGAATGTGTTTCATAGACCAGGCTGGCCTCAAACTCACAGAGATTCCCCTGCTTCTTCCTCCCAAGTACTGGGATTAAAGGTGTGTGCCACCACTGCCCAGCTTGGATTAGAAGGATTAGGAGCTGTGATCTTGTTGGGGAAAGTGTGGGACAGGCTTTGAGGTTTCAAAAGCCCATGCCAGGCAAGAGACAGGCTGTCTCTGTCTGTCTGTCTGTCTGTCTCTCTCTCTCTCTCTCTCTCCTCCTCCTCTCTCTTCTCTCTTCTTTCTCCTCTCTTCTCTCTCTCTCTTTCTCTGCTTCTGCCTATTTTTTCTTTCTCTTTCTGCCTCTCTCTCTCCTCTCTGCCTCTCTCTCTTCTCTCTCTCTCCTTTCTCCTCTGCCTCCTCTCTCTTTCTCTCTCTGCCTCCTTCTCCTCTTTCTCTCTCTCCCTCTCTCTCCCTGCTACCTGCCGATCAGGATGTACAGCTCTCAACCACTGTTCCAACGCCATGCCTATCTGCTCACTGTGATGATCACAGATTGACCCTCTGGAAATGTGAGGGAGATCCCCATTAAATACTCTCTCCTTTAAGCTACCTTAGCCTGTGTGTCTTCCCAGCATTAATAGGACAGTAACTAAGACAACACACAAACACATAATTTTTTTTTACATTACACATGCTTCTGGGTGAATTTTTTATTCACCTATGGGTTGATTACCAACAGAGCTGGACTGGGCACCATGTTTGTGACTCTGTGTTGCCCTGTCCATAGCTGGTCTCTGTCTTTCCCCACCACAGTTGTTTTCACTGTCAGAAGCACAGATGTCCTTAAGGCCTCTTCTGGTCTGGCTGTGCAGAGAACTCATCCGGGCTGGATGGACAGGCTTCTGTACACATCCCCATCTCTCCATGCTGTGGCCATATCCTCCTCCTAGCTCTCACAAAGCCTTCTCTCTTACTGTCTCTTTCCCAGGAGGTCACAGCCACAGGTGAGGTGACCCGCTTGGAAAGGTTCCTCGGCTGGATGAGTCACATCCTGGGTCAAGCCATTAAGTCGCTCCTTTATACTTAAACAATGGAACCTCTGGAGTTGCTGCCGATGATTCATTCCCTGGACAAACACAGAGTTCACAATGTTAGGGCTCTGAGTGGATGAGCCGCATGTATTCAAGGACAACGGCTTTGTGAGAGGAAGCAGGCAGGAGAGCCGTGTGCAAAGGCATCTGAGACAGAGATTGTTTGGTCCCAGATATTCCAGGGTTGTCGGCCCTATCTCAAAAGACAAAACAAAGTAAACAGATGGGCAAAATTAACATTTTCCCCTTGTTACTGATAAAGGTTGCAAAATTTAAGAGCCAAATTCATCTTTTGTTTGTTTTGCTTCCCTTCCTTCTTATGGGTTTGAGGGATTGGACTCAAGTTGTTTATTGAAACAGAGTTTTCTGTAGCCAAGACTGGCCTTGAACTTGATGTACAGTCAAGAATGACCTTGAACTCTCCTGGTCCTCCTGCCTCCGACTCCCAAATACTGAGATTATAGGTGTGAGCCATGATGCCTGGGTTTATTTGGTGCTGGGAATCAGACTCAAGGCTTGGTTCATTCTAGGCAAACACTCCACCAAATGAGCTATGTTCCCTGCCCTCTAGCCCTTAGTAAATGTTTTTTATTTTGATAGGCTCTTCATTACATTGTCTGGGCTGGGCTTAAACTCACTCTGCAGCCCTGAGTTCTTGAACTTGTCATTTTTCTTCCTCAGCCTCTCACGTAACTCCGTGTGTATATGTGTGTATGGGGAGGGGTATTCTAAGGGGAATGCCAGAGGCCAGAGGTGTCAGATGTTTCTGGAGCCAGGGTTCTAGGCAGTTGTATGCCCTAGCATGGGTACTAGGAATCAATCTGAGTCCTCTACAAGAACAATATGTGCTTTTAACTGCTAAGCCACTTCTCCAGCCCCCTTTTTCTTCTTAATTTACACTGTATGTGTGTTTACATGTGTGTGTGTGTGTGTGTGCATGTGTGCGCGCGTGTGTGTATATACATGTGGAGGTCAGAGGACAATGCACAGGAGTTGGTCCTTCCCTTCCTTCTTATGGGTTTGAGGGGTTGAACTCAAGTTGCCAAGCTTGGCATCAAGCACCTTTCCCCACTGAGCCATTTTGCTGGCCTGGGATGGCCAAGCAGCTGCTATTGTTGCTGCCCTTGCTTTTTTCCTTCTCCTCCTCTGCCCTTCTTCTCCACTTTTCCTCTCCCTGCTCCTTATTTTTCTGTTTTGAGGTAGTCTCACTTTATTGCCTAAGATAGTCTGTAGCTCCCTACCTAGACTAGGCTGGCCTTGAACTTGTGGAGATTCTCCTGCCACTGCCTCTCAAGCTCCAAGGTTATGAGTAGCAGCCACCCTTCCTGGCAGAACCTGTTTCCTAGGGTGCTAATCTCATGCATGAGGGCTCTCCTCTCATGATCTAATCACTTCCCAACACCGTGGCACTGAATAAATAAATAAATGCCTAGATTAAAGTTTTTAAAAAGTAGATTAATTTTCCTAAACTCTAGGCTAGATGTCTTTCCCAGAAAAGAGATATAGTTGCTTTAAGACCTGGCTAGCTGGGTGTGGTGGTGCACACCTTTAATCCCAGTATTTGTGAGTCAGAGGCAAAAGGATCTCTGTGAGTTTTAAATCTACAGGCAGATCTACAAAGAGAGCTCCAGAACAGCCAGGGCAAAACAGAGAAACCCTGTCTCAAAGAACAAAACAAAGGGAAAAAAAAAAGGTTATCTTAATTCAAAGTTGAGACTCTCAATGAATATCAGTTAGGAATAAAAAGAAATGTAAACATTTCATGGGACATATATAACTTCCAAAAAAATTACGCTCTCCAAACCATTAATGATCCCCCCCCACAAAGATCACAGTAAAAACTCAATAGTGCCTGAAGGGTTGAGGGTAGGTGGCGATGATTTGGAATTTAGCTGTACCAGGGTTTCAGTTATCTGGAAACTATGAGCTGCGAATTTAAATTTAGTAGGGAAGTCTCCATCGTCAGATTAATATAAGACACACAGTTTAAGCAATGAGCATTTGCTATAATACGGGGTGTAGAGAAACACACAACCTTTTTCGGAGGGGAGTTTGTTTCAGTTGTTTTAAAACACATAAAATCTACCAGTATAACTACCTTAAAGTATATATCAAGTCTTTTGAAAGTGTTTTAAAGATTCTTTCCACATATGGTGTTTTGCCTGCATTGTGCATGTGCAGAGTGTGTGTGTGTGTGTGTGTGTGTGATGTCCATGGAGGTCAGAAGATGGCATCAGATGCCCTGGAGCCGGAGTTACCAGTTATGTGAGCTGCCATGTGAGTGCTGGGAATCGAACCTGGATCCTTTGTAAGACCACCAAGTGCTCTTAAATGTGGAACCATTTCTCCAGCCCCTATACAACTGGTCTTAAAGTGATATTCAATGTATTCACCATGGCGTCCAGCTATGACATTGCTTCTGAAGGAAAGCCTGGTATCCTCTCAATTTGTTTCTTCTGTTGTGATCCCTGCCTTGGAGCTATTGATGGCTTTCCTTAGGGAAGCTAAGACCTATAAAGGTTGCTTCATAGGGAAGATTTTTGCCTCCTCCCATCCACACCCCTTTCTGAGACCATTCTCACTTGTATAACCCAGGCTGGCCTGGAACCGTCTATATAGCTCAGGCTGGCCTTGAACTTGTGGTCATTCTGCCTCAGTTGCCCAGGTACTGGATTTACGGACCATCCCACCATGCGTGGCTTCCTGCTTCTCACTGGAAGACTCCTTTCAGGAGTTCTGAATGGAAGTTGGTGTTGGTGCCACTGATGTGGGTGTCAGGAGTCTTGTGGAGAGCAAGTCCTATCACCTCCGTTCTCTGAGGCACTCTATGGGGCATGCTGTGCTGGGGGTGGAACCCAGGGCCTGGTCCATGTCCTCTCACACTGGAGTTACTATACATCCCAGCCTCTTACGTGCTCAGTTCTGCTGCATGAGGGCTCTTTCATCTTCCTAGGCTTGAGTTTCATTATCAGGTATATTCTGGGCTCTAAGAGGAGAAAGGAAGGAAGGGAAATGAAGCTCCCCTGACATAATATACATCCCTCACTCCTTGATACATTTCTGTCTGGTAGAATTATTCTTATTTTGAGCTGGGCGGTGGTGGCACATGCCTTTAATCCCAGCACTTGGGAGGCAGAGACAGGCGGATCTTTGTGAGTTCGAGGCCAGCCTGGTCTACAAGAGCTAGTTCCAGGATAGGCTCCAAAACTACAGAGAAACCCTGCCTCGAAAAACCAAAATTATTCTTATTTTATTCACAAGGGAAGCAGAGCCTCAAAAAAACATGACCTGTGTGATGTTTGTGAGCATGAGCATGCACACAGCTTATGTCTGGAGGCCAGAGGACAAGCTGCTAAAGTCCAGTCCAGGCCTCCCCTTCTACCTTGGTGAGGCAGCTGGCTTTAGAGCTTCTGGTTATTCTCTTCTTTCTGCCTCCCAGCTCTCCAGCTGGAGCACATGTGTGTGTGTATCTGTGTGTGTGTGCACGCGCACGCGTGTGTGTATTTGTGTGTATATTGTGCACGGCATGCGTGTGCGAGGGCACACTCAGAGAATTGATTCTAGTCAGCTTCACCGGCCCTCAGAGATATTAATTGACCCAAGGGCAGGCACCTTCAAGTGGCAAAGTCAGGATTTGACCTAAAACCATCTGCCCTTGAGCCCTGTGTGTTCCATCCACCGTGTACCAATCTTTCCTAGGTGGCAGAGAAACTGGAGATGCTGAAGAAGCAATACGATGAAAAGCTGGCACAGAAGGAGGAGCTTCGCAAGAAATCTGAAGAGATGGAGCTGAAACTGGAGCGAGCAGGAATGTTGGTGTCTGGGCTGGCTGGTGAAAAGGCCCGATGGGAGGAGACCGTGCAGGTGAGTTGGGCTGCAACAGTGACCGTCCCCTCAAGTAGCCTACCTGACTCAAGAATCCATCCCTATGTCCACTGAGAGGCGATGGTCAGGGAAAACAAGGGCACTTGGGTGTAGGAAATCCAAGAGTAGACAGTGGGAGTCTCTCCCTCCCCTTCTCACATTTGGTAAGAATGTACAAGGAACGGCATCCGTCCACTGGGGGTGGGTTCCGTGAGGGAGCTGGAAGGCACATTAGACCTCTTGGTACTGCTTGTCTTCCTAAGAGATAACAGACAGGCCATCTTGTCTCTACGTCCCTGAGTTCCTGGCTCCACAAAAGGGTTAGATCTTATCAGTGGATAATTAGAGTTCTCTGAGAACAGGGCTTTTGAAAGGGAAGACCAGCTTTGATCTAGACCAGAGTCAAGGAGATTATCTTGTGAAGCATCTCAACCACCTCCAGAGGTCTGGGGTCCCAGGCATTTACCACCCCCTACTGTATCCCAGGGCCTGGAGGAGGATCTGGGCTACCTGGTGGGTGACTGTCTGCTGGCAGCTGCCTTCTTGTCCTACATGGGGCCTTTTCTGACCAACTACCGGGATGAGATTGTCAATCACATCTGGATCAGGAAGGTAAGAAGGGACCTGGTGTGATAAGGGAGCCCTTGGGGTGTGCCCTGGAAGAGGTGCAAGCAAGAGGCAGAGCTGCTGGTGTCTAGCTGAATTTGGGGGTTCTTCTTTCCCCAGATCCGAGAGCTTCAGGTTCCCTGTTCACCTCGCTTTGCCATTGATAGCTTTCTGTCCAATCCTACCAAAGTTCGGGACTGGAACATCCAGGGATTACCCTCCGATGCCTTCTCCACTGAGAATGGCATCATCGTCACCAGGGGCAATAGGTGAGAACAGTTCTGGGAGTGAGAGACAAAGGAGGAGCAGAGCCTGTCTTCTGACGGCGGCTTCTTCTTTCAGGTGGGCCCTCATGATTGATCCTCAGGCCCAAGCCCTCAAGTGGATTAAGAACATGGAAGGAAACCAGGTACTGTGTGGGGCAGTTGTTGGGTGCCCTGAGAGTCTCCCAAGCCTAGTTTCTTCCTCCTCCTCTTCCTTCTCTTCTTCCTCTTCCTCCTCCTCCTCCTCCTCTTCTTCTTCTTAAAAATTTATTTATTTAATGAGCATCAGTGTTTCGTCTGCCCACCTGTCTGTGTGACGGTCTCAGATCCCTGGAACTGGAGTTACAGACAGTTGTGAGCTGCCACGTGGATGCTGGGAATTGAACCCAGGTCCTCTGGAATAGCAGCCAGTGCTCTTAACTACTGAACAAACTCCCCAGCCCCACCTAGTTTCTTCTTGAAGTCCCATTCTTAGCTACTGTGTTCCTCTAAGCTCCTTCCATCCCTCTCCAGGGCCTTAAGGTCATCGACCTGCAGATGCACGATTACCTCCGAATTCTAGAAAACGCCATCCAGTTTGGATTTCCAGTGCTACTTCAGAATGTGCAGGAGTATCTGGACCCCACCCTCAACCCAGTGCTCAACAGATCTGTAGCTCGAATTGGTCAGAGTCTAGGCTTGTTGTGAGCCGGTCCTGGAGACTGGCCAAGTAGGAGACTAGGGTGGAAAGGGAGGCTCTTGGTCTGCATCCCTACGGGTTAGGCCCCAGTGAAGCCTTAAGGCAGGCTGAGTCACTGACCTGTATGTCAATGGGGAATGAGTCAGTCCTTACCTGTTCATCTAAGGTTCTTGCCCTGGACCGTTCTGTGGATGCAGGTGGTCGGCTGTTGATGCGCATTGGTGACAAGGAGGTGGAATACAATCCCAATTTCCGTTTCTACCTCACCACCAAGCTCTCCAACCCCCACTACAGCCCAGAGACCTCAGCTAAGACCACCATTGTCAACTTCGCTGTTAAGGAACAGGTAAGTGAGGGCTGCGGCTGGGATGAAGCTGGGTAGGCTGCAGTGTGTAAGAAATACAAGGGGAGAGCCACGCTTGAGCTGGGCAGCAGAGAAGAGGGTCTTGGGCGGTCTAAAAGGGTGGCAGGTGTAGAGGCCATAGGCATGGGACCCTCACTCTGTATCTTGGCCTTGTCAGGGCCTGGAAGCCCAACTGCTGGGCATTGTGGTTCGGAAGGAGCGTCCCGAGCTGGAGGAGCAGAAGGATTCGCTGGTCATCAACATTGCCGCTGGGAAGAGAAAGCTCAAGGAGCTGGAGGATGAGATCCTCCGGTGAGAATGGCATCCTCATCCCCACGCCACCCTACCCCACCCACCATGTCTGCTCCCAGGACACATCCAGCCAGGCTCCCCACAGGCACAACCGGCACCCTGTGTGGCACACAACAGGAGTCCCTTCCCTCTGATCTTCCAAACGCCTTACTCCAGGTGTCTCCTGGCTTCCTCCTAGTTTGTTGAATGAGGCCACAGGTTCTCTACTAGATGACGTGCAGCTGGTGAACACCCTTCAGACATCCAAGATAACAGCCACCGAGGTCACTGAGCAACTGGAGACCAGTGAGACCACAGAGATCAACATTGACTTGGCCAGAGAGGTGAGCTCTGTCCCCTCCAGTCTGGTTGACTGACCTGAAACCCCTTTCTTCCTGACTTCTTGTTTGTGCCTGCCCCTCTGCAGCCCTGACCCTTACTGACCCCTCCAGGCTTACCGTCCGTGTGCACAGCGGGCTTCAGTGCTGTTCTTCGTGCTCAATGATATGGGCCGCATTGACCCCATGTACCAGTTCTCGCTGGATGCCTACATCAGCCTCTTTATCCTCAGCATTGACAAGAGCCATCGTAGCAATAAGCTGGAGGACCGCATCGAGTATCTGAATGACTACCACACCTATGCTGTCTACAGGTCTGAGGACATGCCCAAGGCAGGGGAATCAAGTGGCTGAAACGTCCCTGGTTTTATGTGACATAGTGTGATTTTAGTGGAGGTTTTAAACACAAATCTGGGGTTTGGGGTGGTAAATTGCTTTCTGTGCAAGCAATGAAGGCTTGAATTCAGATCCTAAGAACCCACATCAAAAGTTGGATATGCACGCCTTTAATCCCAGCACTCGGGAGGCAGAGGCAGGCAGATCTCTGAGTTCAAGGCCAGTCTGATCTACAAGAGCTAGTTCCAGGACAGGCTCCAAAGCTACAGAGAAACCTTGTCTCGACACCCCCTCCAAAAAAAGTTGGATATAATGGTGTGTGCCTGTAATCCCAGCACTGTGGAAGAAAGACAAGATCCCTGAAACCTTTCCGCAAGCAGCTCTAACTGAATTGGTGAGAGGTCCTGCCTCAAAACCAAAGTGGAGAGCAATTGAAGAAAGCCATTCACCCTCTGTTTCTCCATATGCATTGTGCATACATGTCGCCCAGCCACCCACATGTGAGCATACAGACACACACAGACAGACAAGCAGACACACGGACGAGGATTCAGGTCTGGGGTAGGGTCTGAGTCTCTGCATCTCTAATAAGCTTCCAAGGAGCTGTTGGTCCTGATCCGTGAAATTTCTTTTGTTTGATTTTTTTTAAGTTTACCTTCATTTATTAATTACTTTTTAGTGGGGTGGCATGCACACGTTACAGCACATATGTGCCACGGCAAGCTTGTGATGACCAGAGTCCATTCTTTCCTTCCGGCTTCTGGGCCCCAGGAATCAAATGTGGGCCTCCAGGCTTGGCAGCGAGCTCCCTTGCCTGCTGAGTGAGTCATCACGCCAGCCTTTGGCTCACATGTTGAGCAGCAGAGCACCTGACTTGTCTCCCTGGACTTGCCTACAGTCCCTCAAGTTCGCTTGCTTCAGATCAGACTCGTGCTCTGCCCCCTTCACAGGGCTCCTCATCCCTGAATGGCGCCTCCACCAACCCTGTCACTCCTGGCAGCAGCTGGGAGTCACTCTTTATTTTCCTAGCTACAGTCAGCGCTGGGCTCTGTTCCTGTGGTTCTGGTCACTTCTCCCTCCCGTGCTCTCCTGACCACTGCGGCTGGGCCTTGGTGCATGCAGCTGGGTCTTGGTGCACGTTTCCACACGGCTGGGCCATGGTGCATGTTTCCACATGACTGGGCCTTGGTGCACGTTTCCACACGGCTGGGCCTTGGTGCACGTTTCCACACGGATCACACAGCATTCCCCTCTCAGGTTACCCTGCTGCTGTGTCCCTCCTGGTCTGTTCTCCAGGTGATCTTGTTGTTCCCTGCTTAACCTCTTCAGTGGTCGTCATCTCTTGAGGGATCCCCAAAGCCCTCTGTGACCTGACCTCCACCTGCCCCCACTTCTTGCCCGCTGCCTGAGCAGCACTGTTGACTTTCACCCCATGCTCTCTTCCCCTGGCATTCCCGATGCTGTAGCTGTCCCTGGAACACTCAATTCCTCGAGCTCCCATACCTTTGGGTCCCCACACACCTCAAGGCACCTGCTCTCAGGAACTTTCCTTTTTCTTTTTAAATGGTTGATTTATTTAATATACATTGGTGTTTTGCCTGCATTTGTGTCTGTGTGAGGGTGTCAGATCCCCTGGGATTAGACCAGTGTGAGCTGCCACGTGGGTGCTGGGAACTGAACCTGGGTCCTCTGAAAGGTCAGCAAGAGTTCTTAACCACCGAGCTGCCTCTCCAGATCCTCGGGGATCTAAGAGCAGCAGGCACAGCTGGATGGCATGCCTTACATTCCCTTGATACTACTCCTGCCTCTGTGCGGGACTCACAGTGGCTTATCCTGACCACTTGCTCAGAGTACACGCCCTTGGAGGGGGGGGGGCACGACTGCCTCAGGGACAGAGACTACAGCTGACTGCTGAGTGCCCAGCAAGACAATGAGGGAATAATTGATGTTTTGTTTGTTTAATGAACTGAATGCCTAGTTATGGGTGAACTCCAGGAAAACTGTCAGTCTCTCAAGGTCCCCGAGTCCTTGGTCATTTCCGTGAGGTTTGGATTAGGTGCTGACTACACTCCTTGTTTGGAAGGCTCTGGGTATAACCGTTACACGGTGAGTACCTGTGCTGGGCACCTCACCCCACGTCACTCCCCCCTCCACCTTCCCTGTCCTTTCCTCCTAGGTACACCTGCCGGACCCTTTTCGAGCGCCACAAACTACTGTTCAGTTTTCACATGTGTGCCAAAATCCTGGAGACGTCTGGCAAGCTCAACATGGACGAGTACAACTTCTTCCTGCGTGGTGGCGTGGTGAGTCAGCTCCGAGGTTAGCGGAGTGATCCTGCGTGGTGGCGTGGTGAGTCAGCTCCGAGGTTAGCGGAGTGATCCTGCGTGGTGGCGTGGTGAGTCAGCTCCGAGGTTAGCGGAGTGACTGGAAGACAAAGCGTGCTAAGACCAGGTGCACAGTCAGCAGCCTGGAGTAGTGTGGGGCTGACTCGCGGTGTGATTCCTGACATTAGTACAAGTTGGTCAGTGGAACACCTGTTACCTGTGACCCAGGTATACTTGGCTCTCTCACTAAAAAAAAAAAAAAAAAAAAAAAAAAAAAAAAAAAAAAAAAAAAAAAGAAAAAAAAGAAAAAAAGAAAAATTAAGTAAATAAAAAGTCAGGTGAGAGCTGAACCATGATGGAACACATCTTTAATCGCAGCACTCGGGAGGCAGAGGCAGGCGGATCTCTGTGAGTTCAAAGCTAGCCTGGTCTACAAGAGCTAGTTCCAGGACAGCCTCCAAAGCTACAGAAAAACCCTGTCTCAAAAAAAAAAAAAGAAAAGAAACCCTGTCTTGAAAAACAAAACAAACAAAACCAAACCAAGTGAGGTGAGGAGGCTACCTGTAATCCCAGCATGGGGTCCTGAGCTTGCTGCCCAGGTACCCTAGCCTGATGGACAGGGTTCCCTTCAGTGAGAGACTCTCTCAAGGGAATAAGGCCACTTTCGTTCTCTGGCCTCCACATGCTTGCACACTCGGACATGCACCACAGACACACAAACCACACACATGCATATACACACACACCAAAGAAAAAGTTCCAAATTTTCATGTAAAAGAATGAGTATATCAATGGAATGGAGCTCTTTTTGCCACTAAAACCACCAGAGGGCACCAGCTTCCTAAACTTCAACTGTTGTGGGCTCTGTAACCCCATCCCCACTGATTCCTCAGTAAAAGTGGCTTCGCATCCATCTTGGATTCCTGGATCCGTCTCTTCATTCAGCATTTACTGTTTCATGCAAGACCAACACTGGAGGCACACACACATACAAGACCAACACTGAACACACACACAGAAGGCCAACACTGGAGAGACATACACACACACAAACACAAGACCAACACTGACAACATACACACACAAAGGTGGGAGGAGATACGTTAAAATATCATGTTTTATTTTTAATAAAAACATAGCAGTTATACAGTTTTATTGGGTACAGTGACTTAACTTTTTAAAATTAAAAACAAAAAAGAAGGCTCTTTTTATAACTCAGGATAACCTAGAATCACTCTATAGCTCAGGCTGGCCTTGAATTCCTGGCAGTTCTCTTGCCTCAGCCTGGGTGATCTGATAACAGGCACCATGCCTGGCACCATCATCATGATGAATTTTAATACATACATACATGTGTGTGCAGTGATAAGTTAGGAGATTAGGGTAGCTGGCATATCCATTACAACAAATACTTGCCATTTTTTGTTGTTGTTTTGTTTTAGGAATGTTTTAAAAAAGTAACTCTTTTTGTTGTTTTTATTTTCTTTTTTCTTTTTTGGTTTTTCAAGACAGGTTTTCACTATGTAATAGTCCTGGCTGTTCTGGAACTCACTTTGTAGACCAGGCTGGCCTCAAACTCTCTGAGACCCACCTGCCTCTGCCTCCCGAGTGCTGGGATTAAAGGCATGTGCCACCACCTGGCTGTTTCTATTTTTTTCAAGACAGGGTTTTTCTGTGTGGCCCTGGCTATCCTGGAATTCTCTATGTAGAGCAGGCTGGCCTAGAACTCAGATATCCACCTGCCTTTGCCAGCGTCACCATGCCCAGCTCAGTAACACTTCTTCTGAGGGTTCCAGCCTTCTCTGTTTTCTCTCTCCTTTCCCCAAGGTTCTGGATCGAGAAGGCCAGATGGACAACCCATGTACTAGCTGGTTAGCAGACGCCTACTGGGATAACATCACAGAGCTGGACAAACTGACCAACTTCCATGGTCTCATGAACTCCTTTGAGCAGTACCCTCGGGACTGGCACCTGTGGTATACCAACTCAGCCCCCGAGAAGGCCATGCTGCCAGGTGCCCAGCCTCCAGCCTGCCCACCCCTCCCAACACTCCACCCCCACCCCCCGCAAACGCAGCCCCTGAACTTTTCCCTTTGCTCAGACTTCCTGCAGCCTCTCTCTCAGGGCACTCGTTTCCTTGTCTCCAGGTGAGTGGGAAAATGCCTGCAATGAGATGCAGCGGATGCTGATTGTCCGCTCCCTGCGCCAGGACCGAGTGGCATTCTGTGTTACTTCGTTCATCGTCTCCAACCTTGGCTCTCGATTCATTGAACCGCCTGTGCTAAACATGAAACTGGTCAGCGACTCCGCCTTCTCGCCCTACCTGCTGTGGTGTCTCTTCCTCTCTTTTGGTTCTGAGACCATCCCTGTACTTTCAGGTGATGGAGGATTCTACCCCACGATCCCCACTGGTATTCATCCTGTCTCCTGGTGTGGACCCCACCAGCGCTCTGCTTCAACTGGCAGAACACACAGGCATGGCCCAGCGCTTCCATGCCCTGTCCTTGGGCCAGGGTCAGGCTCCCATTGCTGCTCGTCTCCTACGAGATGGTGTGATGCAGGGTTAGTAACAGTTCACCATCAGAAACAGGAGAGCAGGAGCTCACACAGGGGAGGAACCTGGAGGCAGGAAGGGGTGCTGCTTACTGGCTTGCTCCTCCTGGCTTGCTCAACCTGCTTTCTTACAGAATTTAGGACCACCTGCCCAGGGCTGGTCCCACCTACAATGGGCTGGGCCTTCCCAAAAAAAAAAAATCACTAATTAAGAAAATTCTTGCCTGGGTGTTGGTGGAGCAGGCATGCCTTTAATCCCAGCATTTAGGAGGCAAAAGCAGGTGGATCTCTGAGTTTGAGGCTAGCCTGGTCTACAGAGCGAGTTCCAGGACATCCTAGGACTGTTACACAGAGAAACCCTGTCTTGAACCCCCACCCCAATGCTCTCCAGACTTCCCAGCATCCTGATCATATTTTTTCAACAGAGGCTCCCTCCTCTCTGATGACTCTAGCTTGTGTCAAGTTGACATAAAACCAGCCAACACAGTATCCATCTCCTTTCACGTCCACTCCTCAGCCCCAGTCCTTTTCCTCGCCCCTACTACTGTGACTGCAGTTCAGCCTGCGCAGAAACCCCAGACAGAGTAACCTTTGACGCTGACCCCACTGCCACCGCCACTGAGTGTAGGGTGTGGGTCAGAAAGCTTGGGGAACTATTCCTGTTGACATTGGCACCTCCTTGCAGGGCACTGGGTGTTCCTGGCAAACTGCCACCTGTCCCTGTCATGGATGCCTAATCTGGACAAGCTGGTGGAGCAGCTGCAAGTGGAGGACCCTCACCCTTCCTTCCGTCTCTGGCTCAGCTCTAGTCCTCACCCAGACTTCCCAATCTCCATCCTGCAGGCCAGCATCAAAATGACCACAGAGCCACCAAAGGTATGGTGGCCACAGGGAGCCAGCGTCACCTGTGCTGTCAGTTCAGCTTGCCTTTATTCTCACTGGCACCAAAGAGAGGCCCAAGCCTTAACGACAACACACCTTTCTTTGGCTCTGGTTGTTTTCTAAAAAAAATCTCTGCCTCTCTTGTGTGTGGCAAACTTCCCAAAAGTAATAACAATAATGTTTACTGAGCACTTATCACTCAGTTTAACACTGATATAATGCCAGGCTCTAGTTTAACACCTTTACATTTATCAACTCATTTCACACTCACACATCAGGTAAGAATTGCAACTCTGGACGATGGTGGTGCACTCTTTTAATCCCAGTACTCAGGGAGGCAGAGGCAGGTGGATCTCTGTGAGTTCAAGGCCAGCCTGGTCTATAAGAGCTAGTTCAAGACAGCCAGAGATACACAGAGAAACCAAACCAAAACCAAAAAAAAAAAAAAAAAAAATGCTACTCCAACTTGATGGGGAAGACACCGAGACCCAAAGTGTAAATCAGTGCCTGGGGCCGCACTCTGGGTGTGAGTCCAAAGTGTAAGTCAGTGCCCGGAGCCGCACTCTGGGTGTGAGTCCAAAGTGTAAGTCAGTGCCCGGAGCCGCACTCTGGGTGTGAGTCCAAAGTGTAAGTCAGTGCCCGGAGCCGCACTCTGGGTGTGGGTTCCCAAGCCACCCTTTCCATCACCCACACTCTGCCTCCTGCAGCCACTTCTTCTCTCCATGCCTCCCAGAGTCTCAGCCTCATTCTCCCTCCTTCCTTCCAACTCTCGAGAACCTTCTCTCTCATTTCACAAGTTCACTGCTGAATCCAATGATACTAAATCCAACAGCACTGCCTCTTTAAGATCTGTTCCTGTTACGATATTCCCATGCCCACAGACCCTCATGGAAGCTATTTGGAAGGGTGTGTTGTTTGCTGTGGTCCTGCGATACCACTCAGGGCCTTGCTGTACGACTGGGCTACTGAGATACATACCCAGCTGTTGGTTGTTTGAAGCTAGGTTTCACTGTGTAGTCCCGGCTGGCCTCCAGTTTGCTATCATCTTGCCTCAGACTCCTAGATGCTGGGATTACAGGTGAGTGAAGCGACTGCCATGCCTGGCAGTGAAAAGAAAAGGGTTGTTTAAAATTTTAAAATGAAAAATCCTCACGTAGAGACTACTCTTTAGTATATACTCAACAAATAAATCCTATTTTTTCCTCACCCTGTCCTTTCTGAGCACCCTGGGCCAGCTGTCCCGCACCACTCTCCCCTTCCTGGCTTTCCAGGCACAGCCTTCCTATTCTCCCTCTTCTTCCAACACATCTTTTAAAGTTTGTTTTTTGTTTTTGTTTTTCTGAGACAGGGGTTTCTCTTCCTAGCCCTGACTGTCGTGGAACTCTTTCTGTACACCAGGCTTTCCTCGAACTCAGAGATCCGCCTGCCTTTGCCTCCTAGTGCTGGGATTAAAGGCATGCACCACCACCGCCCTGACACATTCTTTATTAATTCTGTGTTTCTTTCTGTTCTTTATATCTCAAGATTTAGTGCTTAGTCTAACTTTTCTCATTCTACAGTCCTCTTTACACTTGTCACAGTTTCACCTCTAGTCCCCATCTCTGGCTACAGTACCAGCCTCATCCCTGGCTACAGTATCAGCCCCCATCCCTGGCTACAGTACCAGTCCCCATCCCTGACTACAGTATCAGCCCCCATCCCTGGTTACAGTGCTGACCTCAGTACAGAGCTTAACTGCCACGTGATGATGAAGCCTTCCTTCCTGTGACACCAGCATCATGAATCCTACATCCCTAAAACAAGGATGCTGGCTTCTTCATCATTCATTAGATCATTCCACCTTTGCCTCTGGCAACACTTTTTTAAAAAATGTGTTTACTGTTAGAACAGTTGCCTAGCATCCACGAGGTCTTGGGTTCCACCTCTAGCCCAGGGAAGAAATATAAAGTTGACTTTTTGTTTTAAAATAAGAGAGGGTGAGCCAGGTGGTAGTGCACACCTTAATCCCAGCACTTGGGAGACAGAGGTAGGTGGATCTCTGTGAGTTGGAGGCCATCCTGGTCTACAGAGGAGTTCCAGGACAGCCAGGGCTGTTATGCAAAGAAACCCCATCTTGAAAAACAAACAAACAAACAAAAAGATAATGACAGTGCAAGTGTCCAGTTTTTTACTTCCATCGTGTGGGTTCTAGTATTGAACTCGGGTCATCAGTTTGGTGCCAAGCACTTTACCCACTGAACCTTCTCTTCAGACCCTTTTCTCTGAAAACTTATTTCTTGGGCCAGCATCAGTGGCTCAGCCTATGAGAGGTTTAAAGAAACCCTCCACGCTGCAGATGCGGGTCCTCCCTGCCATCTGCTGAACCCAGCGAGAATAGTTCAAGGTTTATTTGTTAGAGCAGGATTTCCTGACACGTGAGATGGCTCAGTGGGATAGGCATCTGCTGCCAAACCTGCCCATCTAAATGTAATCCCCTGGACCAGAGTGATGGGTGGAGAAAATCAATTTGACGACAGCCACACCTCAGACACCCAGGTCTCTGAGAATGACCTTGAATTTCTGACTTTGATCTTCCTGCCTCCAGTTGCCAGTGCTGGGATTACAGGCGTGTACTACCAACACCTCACCTGTAATCCTAGCGTTTAGGAAACAGACAAAAGAATTTCTGTAAATTCAAGGTCAGTCTAAGTTACAGAAGATGACTCTGTTTTAGCCTGCAGAGGTGGTGCACACCTTAAATCCTAGCACTCTGGAGGCAGAGGCAGGTGAATCTCTTGAGTTTGAGGACAGCCTGGTCTATAGATTGAGTTCCAGGACATCCATGTTTACACAGAGAAACCCTGTCTCAACAAAACCAAATTAATTTAATTAATTAAAAGACCCTGTCTTAAAAAACAAAAGTAAAAATTGATAAAAAAAAATATAAAACAACAGTCAGGTGGTGGTGGTGCATGTCTTTAATCCCATCCCAGCCCTTGGGAGGCAGAGGCAGGTGAGTTTGAGACCAGCCTGGCCTGGTCTACAAGAGCTAGTTTCCAGGTCAGGCTCCAAAGCTATAGAGAAACGTAAAATAATAAAACAAGAAGTGAACTAGGGGATGGAGAGATGACTTGGCATTTGTTGCTCTTGCAGAGGACTTGGGTTCAGTTCCCATTGCCTACAAGGTGGATCACAACCATCCTAACTCCAGTGCCAGGAGATCTAACACCACTTCTGACCTCCACAGGGACCAGGCATGCATGTGGCACACATATATACACACAGACAAAACATTCACATGTAAAATAAAATAATTTTTTTTGTTTTTTGTTTTGGTTTTTTGAGACAGGGTTTCCATGTAGCTTTGGAGCCTGTCCTAGAATTCACTCTGTAGACCAGGCTGACCTCAAACTCACAGAGATCTGCCTGCCTCTGCCTCCCAGGTGTTGGGATTAAAGGTATACAACACCACCGCCCAACCATAAATAAAACTTCTAGAAATGATTCTGCTTTTAAACATATATCTATATCTCTATATATTTGCTTAGATAGAGATAGAGATGGAAATTGAGCGAGCGAGAGAGAGAGAGAGCAGAACATTATCCTTTTTGGAAACATTTCTTTAAAGCGTCTTTTCTTAATCTTGCCCCTTCTCTCCAGACCCAGAGCCATTATTTGAATATTGTTTGTAATTTTCTTTCTAATTTTAACACACAACTCTGTGTCACAAATACAGTCATACCATATGGTTTCTTTTCCCACTTAGTGCAGTGTACTTGACATCGCTCCATAGTCACACAGTCCAGATGCTAATCTTTCCTGTAACATGGTTTCCGGTTTGTCTTTTCTCCTTTTGCCAAGTAGCCCAGGCTGGCTTCGAAGTTTTGATCCTCTTACTTTGGTCTCCCACAATTCCATACATTTAAAAAAAAATTCTCAGTTGCAGCGGACTGAGAGTATAGCTCAGTGGTAGAATATTTTCCTGGCTTGAACAAGGCTTTGCGGTTCAATCCCCAGCATTGAAATAAAACAAAACAAATACCAGTGAACACATAATTGTAGGTGCACACCTTCGGTATTTTGCCATATTTTCTGGCACTTGCAAATTGAATTGGCTCATTCTTCGGGGACATCATGATTGAGAGAATCAAACATGGAGGCCGGGCTGGGTGCTGTGACCCCTATCTGTAGTCCGTTGAGTTCCAGGTCACCTAATCTACACAGGAATTCCAGGCCATCTAGAGCTATACCCTGAGAACTTCTCTCCAGAAATGGGGAGGGAGTGGCTTAGGACGTAGCCCAGTGGCAGAGTGATTGCCTCACATGTTAAAGCCCAAGGTTCAATGTCCAGGACTATCCCCCCAAATGAATAAATGGTGTGAGGGAGAAGGTAGGATTACCAGTAGCATACGCAGTAGATCTCAAAGGTGCCCACCCTGCGAAGGAGCGTCTATCTTGGCATGCAGATCAGAGGCTAGTACTCTAGAGGCTTCCATCCCTCCTTGAGCCAGGACCTTTGTGCAAGGCCTCCTCCGCAACTGCCCATGATGCTGCTAGTGACAGACAGAGTTGAGTACCACAAATATCACCCTGTACTGTCCTGTCCGCAGGGTCTGAAGGCCAACATGACACGGCTGTATCAGCTGATGACGGAACCACAGTTCACGCGCTGCTCCAAGCCTGCCAAGTATAAGAAGCTGCTGTTTGCGCTCTGCTTCTTCCACTCTATATTACTTGAACGCAAAAAGTTCTTGCAGCTTGGCTGGAATATCATCTATGGCTTCAACGACTCTGACTTCGAGGTTTGTGCTAACTAGGGGCCTCCCACGACAGCCCTTTCTTCTCATACTTCTTGACCCATGGCTCTTTTGTGGGAATACTGGCTGCCAGAAAGCTGGTGTTACAGACCCATCGGAGGAGTTCTTGCCATAACCATATGGGGCTTGGGTCGGAACCACACACAGGTGTCAGAGAACCTGCTGAGCCTCTATCTGGATGAGTATGAGGAGACACCCTGGGATGCACTCAAATATCTCATCGCCGGCGTCAACTATGGTGGCCATGTCACAGATGACTGGGACCGGCGCCTTCTCACCACTTACATCAATGATTATTTCTGTGACCAGAGTCTAACAACTCCCTCCTACCGGTGAGGAAGGGGTAAAAGGATATAAACAGACGAGGGGTCAGGATTGGGTGCTATGTGTGTGTGGTGTGCACATGTATGGTGTGTGTGTGTGTGTGTATAGAGACTAGGAGGTTGGGAGAAGATAGAAATTGTGGGATTGGGAGGAAGAGCAAGGGTCACGAGTTAGACAAATGGGAAAGTATTGAGACTGGGGATTGGGCTTGGCATGAACGCCCTTCAAGTCCTGCAATGTGGTAATAATACTCCACTGTGGCTGCCCAGGTTGTCCGTATTGGACACTTATTTCATCCCGAAGGATGGGAGTTTGGCCTCCTACAAAGAATATATCAGCTTGCTACCCAGCATGGACCCCCCTGAGGCCTTTGGCCAGCATCCCAATGCTGATGTGGCCTCCCAGATCACTGAGGCCCGGACCCTCTTTGAGACTCTGCTTTCCCTGCAACCCCAAATCACACCCACCAGGATTGGCGGCCAGAGCCGAGAGGAGAAGGTAGGAGCAGAGGCTGTCCCGTGGGAGGGAGCGTGCTGAGGAAGGGCAGGCCAGCTCTAAGCTTCTGCCTCCCTAGGTCCTTGAGCTAGCTGCCGACGTGAAGCAGAAGATCCCTGAGATGATTGACTATGAGGGGACCCGAAAGTTGCTGGCTCTTGACCCCTCCCCGCTCAATGTGGTCCTCCTGCAAGAGATCCAGAGATACAACAAACTGATGAGGACCATCTTGTAAGATGGAAGGAACACTGTAGAACATGGGAGGGAAGCTGGGTGGTGGTGGCGCACGCGTTTGATCCCAGCACTTGGGAGGCGGAGGCAGGTGGATCTCTGTGAGTTTGAGGCCAGCCTGGTCTACAGAGCGAGTTCCAGGACAGACTCCAAAGCTATACAGAAAACCCTGTCTTGAAAAACAAAATAAAATAAGAATATGGGAGGGGAAGGAGAAAGGCCTCAGCGCGTGGGTGGAATGGTTCTCCCAGACCAGCCTTCTTTAATCCTCTGCCCGCTTCATCCATCTAGGTTTTCCCTGACAGACTTAGAGAAGGGCATCCAGGGCCTCATCGTCATGTCAACAAGCCTGGAAGAGATTTTCAATTGCATCTTTGATGCCCATGTTCCTCCGCTCTGGGGAAAGGCAAGCTCCCACCACTGTCAATCCTAACCTTGATCTCAGCACTTCATTCTCAGGGCGCATATAGCAGCCTTCAGAGAGCCCAGGGTTCAATCTAGACAGGTTCAAGTTGTTGAAATCTAGCACTGCCATTCACTAATGGTCTGCAGAACTTATTAACTCACAGATGTGTTCACATTAACTTCTATTTCAAAGACACCCCCGCAGTACTGTGCGTGGTACTTAGCAAGTACCTGGTTATTGCAAAGAAAGCACCCTCATCCAAAATCTGAGCTCTGAAACACTCTGAGTGGCAAACATGATGTTCAAAAGGTTTCAGTTATCAATTTTTGGACTAGGGATCCTCACCTAGTAGTCTATGCAAATAACACATGCCCCCAAACACATTAAGAAATCGGAAACCCTTCTGGCCCCATGCATTTTGGGTAAAGGCTAATCTGTAGTGATATCATTGTTATTAATGAGTTGTATTAGTTGTATACTTTTCTCCTGGGAGTTAACCTTTGCTGTCAGCAGAGGCGGATACCACACAGTTGTCTCATAGCTGCCCTGGGTGCTCTTAATGAGGATGTGAAAGCATCATGGGATGGGCAAGCCCACGTACCACCTCCTCTCTCAGGCATATCCCTCACAAAAGCCTTTGGCTTCATGGACCCGGGACCTGGCTATGCGTGTGGAGCAGTTTGAGCTGTGGGCCAGTCGAGCCCACCCTCCTGTGATCTTCTGGCTGTCTGGCTTCACTTTCCCCACTGGCTTCCTTACTGCTGTTCTGCAGTCCTCAGCTCGCCAAAACAATGTGAGCAGTGTGTACCATGGGATCTCAGGGAGGGAGGCTAGGAACAAGCAGGAGGATTTGTTCTCCTTGGGGGGCCCTCCCTCATTGCCACCTTCACCCCACAGATTTCAGTGGACTGCCTCTCTTGGGAGTTTATAGTTTCCACTGTGGATGACAGCAACCTGGTGTATCCACCCAAGGTGGGAGTTACGATGAGTTTGGGCTTCGGAGCAAAAGGTCAGGTGGAGGAGGATAAGGGAAGAAAACCTGTGAAGAGAAGGGCGTTAGGTTAGAAGTGCTGATAATTTAGGGTATAGATTTCCTCCAAATCTGTCTCCATCTCTCCTCAGGACGGTGTCTGGGTTCGGGGTCTGTACCTGGAGGGAGCTGGCTGGGACCGAAAGAACTCTTGTTTAGTGGAGGCAGAGCCCATGCAGCTGGTCTGTCTTATGCCCACGATCCACTTCCGTCCAGCAGAAAGCCGCAAGAAAAGTGCCAAGGGTGGGAAACTGCCCCCTCCCTTGTCCAGTCCTCAAATGCACCTGCCTCGATCTTCCAGACTCCAGAGTCTGTCTTTTCTTTTCTTTTTTTGTCCTTTTTTTTATTTTTGTCTTTTCTTTTTCTGAGTCTGACTGTCTTTTCATTTCCCCTAGGCATGTACTCCTGTCCCTGCTATTACTATCCCAACCGTGCAGGCAGCACAGATCGGGCCTCCTTTGTCATAGGCATCGATCTCCGATCTGGAGCCATGACATCTGACCACTGGATTAAGAGGGGCACGGCTCTACTGATGAGCCTGGACAACTGATGAGCGCGCCCTTCTTCTTTCCTGCTTGAGAGGGTCGGGAGCCTTAAGACTTTGTCCTAAAACTGGATCTCAGACTTTATCCTAGCTGAATCCAGTATATAATGGCGCCCTGAAGGTACCTAGTGGTGCTAGCCGTAAAGGTGGAACACTTGTATTGAAGTTCAGCACAGTAAAACACGTGCAAACCCAAGCTCCAAGTCTCTCAATGGAATGGTGGTGATTTAGTGTGTGTTGGGGTGGAGGAAACCGGAGGAGGGAAGCTGGGATATGCTCGTGGGAAGGAGCTGCTACAGCAAGAACTGAAAAGAAGGAAGTGGGGGGGCCTCTAGCAGGAGGGAGGTGTGGCCTTACCCACTCGGCCTATAGGGGGTGTGACTAAATCTCAGGGGAAGGGCTTGAGCAGGCGGGGTGGAGCTTGCTTTAGAAGGGCGCGGGATCCAAATGGAATAGAGATTTGTCAAGTAAGGATTCGAGATGAGCTGTATACATTGCACCCTAAGCTTTGCAATCATGACTCAGAATCATCGCCTGATACCAGAGATGAGGCGCGCAGGACTGAGGGCGGGGCGGAGCAGAAGAGGGACTTCAGCGCAAAGGGGCGGGACCACGACTCGGGGGCGGGGCTGGGGAAGGGGGGGCTGGTGCGGGTGTTTGTGTTGGAAAATCAAACTGCGCCACGGGGTGGAGCGGCCCCCCCCAGTCCCTGTCTGGGAGGGGGGGGGGCCGCTCGACCCCCGGGAGGCCTTGCGGATCCTGAATCTGGGACCCTCAGAATAAGGTAATGGGGAGTCGCGGGGGCTTTTGGAAAGAGGAACGCCATCTCCGTGCAAGGGGGCGGAACGTCAGACTCTGGAGGGATCTGGTAAGGGATGGGCGTTTGGGTCTTGGAAAAAGCAATGGCAATGTTAGGGTGCAAGACATCCAGGACCCCAGAAGTGAACAAGGCAAAGGTAGCGGAATAACTGGTCTTGGTTCCAAAGGTCAAGAAGGCCTGAAAGTACTCCCAGTCCCGTTGGGATGGGGACTTACACTAGGGCGGGGCTCAATGATCTTGAACAAGACTACAGGGCAGTTTGCAGTTAGGTCTAGGGTTAGGCGATGGCCCATGGAGATCATAAGCGACCAGGCATAGTGAGTCTCTAGTCACGGGACTACTTGAAGTCTCCTTCCAGCTCTTTCCCCCTGGTGAGATGTGTGTGTATTTTCAACCTTCACCATCCCATTAAGAGTGGTAGCTTTCCCCAGCTCACCCGACTCCACCTTACCTTCTGCGCTCGACCTCGCCTGGTTCGTTCCCCTAGTCCCTGGCGCAATACCACTTTTCCGTCTTCAGTCCCCCTAGCCTTCTCTGGGCTTTGGCCCTTTCTCCATACTGAATCTTTCCCTCGTAGCCACGAGATGGCGAAGATGAGACGCCCACCAGGCTTGCGGGTTGGGGTGGGGGGAGGATGTAGCCATGACCCAGCGTGTAGGGAAGGCGGGCTGAGGTTCTCCTTTGATTTCCTGTCATCCGTCTGGCACCCACCCCCACCTCTGTTCCAGGAAATTGTAAGCATATGAGTAAAGGGCAGAAGCTGGGGACAGGGCTAGAATCTCAGTCTAAGCTTTTTGGCCTAGAATAAACAGTGGTGAAGGAGCACGCGGGTTGGTCCCTAATATGCAGATTCGTTCCAGCCTTTTGTGGCCGGTGACCGTGTCTTGGGGTGGGGGTTGGAGTGTGGGGAAAGGTCGAAGGCAGAACACCTAGTTCCGGGGGATGAGAATCCCGAGAGAAAGAAAGGGAAGGAGCTGAGATGCTATAGAAGTGACTCCGTAGTCGTCGGGAGTAAGGCAGGACCAAGAAGCTAGCTCTGGTCGGATCTCAGTCGCTTGCCTGGGTTGTTTGCTCAGTTGCCGGAGTAACAGGCCAACCAGCGTCCCCCGCCAGATTCCCAAACTCTTCCTCCACTGTCCAATCCGCTGTAGCGGACGTCGCCTACGTCATAGCTCTAGTGACCAATGGGGAGCTGGCACTATCGAGAGCCTGAAAGAAGGAGAGGGAGGAGGTGGAAGTGGGGGGAGGCAGTGGCTACCCAGGATCTGCACGTGCACTCCCACACGCCTCGCTCCCAGTACTCCCTCTTCCAACGCACGCGCCCAGGCAGTCTCTTGCGCCTGCGCGGCGAATCGCGCTCCCCCCCCCCCCCCGGCTTAGGTCTTTCACAGTCTTGTGTTTGCAAACTAGTCCAGGGCTGCGTTTCTCAACCCCCGCGGGCCCAGACGTCTGGGTGGATTTGCGTTCTTTAGCCGGGTGTCGACTGTTTATGTCAGTCTCTGGTGGGAAGGATGGCTACTTGTGTTCCCAATCGCCATCCCCAGCTGGCGCCCCAAAGTTCCCAGGTGGGCAGGGCGGAGCTGTGGTTTCCGGCCCCCTAAGCTCAGTCGCGGCTTTCCCGAGCTCTAGCTTAGGTTGTTTCCATAAAAGAAAAGGAGTAGGTACAAGCACCCATTCCCGAGGCTTCACCCGTCCAGGCCTAGCTGCCGTTAGTGTAGTAACTCGGCAGGACAGTGTAAGAAGCCCCTGGTGGTCCAGGTGACTTGGCCAGGGGGTGGTCATGCCTATTTTTTTTTCTTGTGAATTCCTGCTTTTTGATATGCATACCAACCCTTTCCCTCCCCTTCCCTAACGTTTCCTTCGAGCTCTCTCTAGTGATTTTTGCACCTCCCTTGGCTCCTTTCGGACGGTCTGTCCCCGGCTCCACTCGTCCTTCTCTGCTTCTCCAGAGGGTTATATAACTCTTCCTCTCGGCGTGTCCTGATTTCAACTCCACAGACTCCGCCCTAGAACAGCACGGGAGGGGCGGGAGAGTTGGGGACCCAGACAGATTCCGGCTGGCGGCCAGCTGGGGAACAGGGGATCCCGCAGATAGCAGACGGACTCCCTCGGGTGCCCTGTCCCTAGTCTTCTGCCCCTGACCAGGGATCAAGCCCAGAAGAAAGAAGACACAGTATCTCGAAGGGGCGTGTCGGGACAGTCAGAAATGTGGGTTGGGAGGTCAAGGCTGGAGGCTGACAGGAGGAGTCAGGCGACTGGTCGGATTCCTTAGGATTAGTCCTGTTGGGGTTAATATTGCTAAAGGCAGGACGCCTGGGTTCCCTCCTTCGTCTCTTTTTTTTTTTTTTTTGGGTTTCCAGAATTCCTATAGCTATTTCCCAGGAAACTTAGCCAGCCAGCGGCATCTTCGCCCTGCTAGGAGTCAAAGGTCTGTGTTAGAGGTGGCCTGGGATGATGTCACCAGTGCACGTGCCCCGGGACGGTTGCCAGGCAATGCGATCTCCTCCCCCTTCCACTCCCTCCCACCTCAGCCCGGAGTCCCGTTCCATTCCCGTGCCATCTCTTTCCCCTTTCCTTTCCCTTGGCATTAGCATCCTGCAGGTGGGAAACCCTGGCCTGGAGTTTTGTGAGGGGGAGGGGCGCGGGTGTGGTGTGGCTTAAAAGACTTTGCTCCTTTGCTGGGTTGAGAGAATTCTGGGTCATTTTTTTCTAGATTGTCAAAGAAAAACTTCCTCTTCAATCTCCTTACCCTCCCCACCCCCGCTGGCGACCTGGCAAGAGTCTCCTAGAAATCTTTTTACTTTCCCACCTGCTGCATGGCTCAGTGTCCTGTTGCCCCTTTCCCACCTTTAGTTGAAGTGGGTGTAGTTGCAAGACAGCTGCCCCTGAGAGAAGAGCTGTACGTGGGGTATACACACCAACTCATCCCTGACAGCCGCTTCACCCCCTCTCACCAAACTGAGGACAGTGTTAGGCTGAAAAGCCAAGGTCTTTATCTTTGTAGGTAGGTGGATCAGCTTCTGCCATTGCCCACTTTTGAGAGAGGAACTCATTGATATGTGTGGTTGTCCTTCTGTTAAATTGGGCATTAGTGTCTCCATTTAAACGCCTTAGAACTTGGACTGTCAACTCAAACCGGGATTCTAATCCCAGCTCTGCAGGATTGGGATTTGGAAAGGTCACAGCCTCTCTGAGCCTCCAATCCTTAATCTTGGACATTTAAATATCAATACCTACCTTTTAGCTGATGGGAGGGGGTAGTGAAGTAATTTATGCAAAGTGCTTAGCATAGTGGTTGGCATAAAATAGGTATTATTAAATGGTGTTAGTTATTATAGTGGGTGGACCTGTTCTAAAGTATCATCACTATGGACTGGGTAGAGAAGAGTGGAGAGTTTTGCTAACTGGTGTGTGTGTGTGTGTTGTGTGTGTGTGTGTAGGGTGTCAGGAATTAGCATCGACTACTTTATGTACCTTATTTAACGTGGGCTTTAGTCAGATTTGTATTGCTTTCTTTAGGTTTATTTTTCCCCTCCTAAAAAAATAGCTAAGATGATTTCTTTGGCTGTTAAGATAATTATGTTGTGGCTTATGATTTTCAAGCGATACTCTGGTTCCCTCCCTTGTCGCTCTCTTGAGCTTTTCATTTTGCAAAGGGACTCCACAGTTTCCCTAGCGGGGACATGGTTAGGCTAAAGGGGTGTGTAAAAGGTTGGGGTGGGTGGAGAGAGACTAGTGGGGGGGAGGCTGGGGGAGCGGGTAGTTAAAGGAAGAGACCGGAAGGGAGGAGGAGGGAGCCTGCTGGTGGGGAGGGAGGGGAGGAGGAGGAGGTGGAGGAGGAGGAGGAGGAGGACGAGGAGGAGGAGGAGGGAGGGAGGGGGTTGGGGAGAGCCTGCTACAGTTCTTTGTTTGACTCCGGGACTCAGGGACGGGGAGGAGGAGGGAGGGAGGCAGAGGCTGCAAGCGTCGGGGCAGGCCCAGGAGGCAGAGGAGGGACCGTCTCCCCCGGCCCCCCCAGCCCCCATTCCCCCCCTGCTGCTTCCCCCCTCCCTACCCGGACTCTGGGGGCTCCGCCGGGGGACAGACACCCAGCAGGTAACCCCAGCCTGGCTCCCCCTCCCCCTGTCTTATTTTCTCCTACACCCTCCCGGACGACCCCTTTCCGTCTCCCCGATTTCCCCGGCCTTGCTTTCCCCCCAGCCCTCCTTGTTCCATTTCCCCCCGAGTTGGGCTTGTCGCCTGCTGGCTCCGTCACCCTCTGTCTCGTGCAGCCTGACTCCCTTCCCCCCACCCCATAGTGTGTGCTCCCCTGTTCTGCCCGAGGCACCTTTTGGGGTTCTGTCTCGCTGTTTCTCAGGCTGGCTTCTTCCGACCTGTCTCCAGGGGCTCTAAGGGAGAGGGAGTCCTTATCTTTTAATGGCTCCCCGAAGCCTCCTTTGCCCCTTTCTCCTTGTAGCAGTCTCTAGGGTGAGAGAAAACCGGAATTTGGGGGGCCCTCTGGAGAGGCAGGGGCTGTGTGTTGCTGGAGACAGGGTCTGGGAGTGTGTGTGAGGAGGGGGTAGGGGTTCGTTAAAGACCAGGCTGCCTCTCTGATGTCCCTTTAAATGGCCCTTACATTTCTGGGGACTGGGGGTGGGGTGGGGAGGTGGCAAGCTGCCTGCTTGGGGGGCAGGGCCCTTGGTTTGTCCACACCGTCAGGGGTGGTAATGATTTAAAGGGACAGCCTTGGTGTGGCCACTGCCACTCTGTGCTGGCAGGAGGGGGAGCTGGCAGGCTGTGTCTACAGAGGCTTGGCTGGTGAGCAGGGCATTTGAGGCTGTCTGGTGTTGGGCCTGCAGGTCGGCAGTACAGCGGCTGTGGCTGGAAAGGCGCAAGAAGTGGTTGACAGCCTGTCCTGAGGGCGCCGAGTCTGGGCTTTCTCCAGAACCCCGTCTTTGAGTCCTTTGACTCCATGACCAGGAATCTGTGGGCCACCAGGTGGGGGCCACTGGCAGATCTGCAGGGTGACCTGAGCACTTTGGAGCTGGCCCTTCAGCTTCCCCTTTTGTTGTTTGGTTATCTGCACAAGAAGGCCCCAGCCCCTCCTCCTCATCCACATGCCCCCCACCCCCACCCCAGCTGTTGGACAGATGAATTACAGCCTGCTGCTTGGGGCCAAGGCTGGTAAGGGATTAAAGTTCTGAGGTTGGCCCTTTAAATGGCTGCTGGCCCTCCCCCACTCTGGTGTCCAGATACCTGGCACACACCCTTCCGACCCCCTTGACTGCCCCTCACTCCTCTTGGTCTGCCTGAGGCCTCCCTTCTTCCCACTAGGCTAGACCCTTTCTAAAACACCCCACCTCCACAAATGCTGTCAACTGCTGGGGAAGCGGTTTAGTCCTGAATTTGCCTCCCTGTCCTGAAGGGTTGCAGCCTCTAGCATTTTTCTCCTGCAGAAAGAAAAGGCCTTGGCAGTCTGGCTTTCTCAAGCCTGCAGCTGACCACTGATCCTTAAGGGCCTTGCTTAGGTCAGAAATAACACCTCCCCGGGGGCAGTGTCATCAGCGGCTGAGAAAGCTTGCGGTACATTGCATCATGGAGGCTGGGGGCCAGAAGCCTAAGTCTCTGGGGCAGGGGGAAAGATGGGGGCTGGAAGGCCAGGAAATAGAGAGGCCAGGCAGAGAGCCCAAGTATGGGGGTCCTAGGGCCAGGGGAATGGAAAACATAGGTTCCTGAGGAGTGAGTCTGAGGTTAGGGTTGACTGAGGTCTCACCCCTGTATCAACACCTCATTCTTGGCCCTTGACTTGTATTAATAGACCTAGTTCCTTGTATCAAAGATTGGGAGGGAAGGGAGTGGGCCCCTGTCACCTCCTTGGGCCACACAGAGGAAGGAGGTAATGGGGAAACAGGATATGGCCTTGGAGGTGACATGGAGGGAGCTTGCTGCAGAGGCCACTTCCCGGATCAAGCCCAGAGTCACAGTTGTTGCAAAGAAGGCTCCTCCCTGTTGGGCCCGTTCATCTTGTCTGGCCACCTGTGCCACTTGCCAGGACCTGCCCATACCAGCCTAAGGGAACGGGAAGGGTCAGAGTCCAAAGGGTGGGGTTGACTATCTGGTGTCTAGTTAAGGTTGGGGAGGAACTCCTGGGTTGGAGGGAGCAGAACTCAAGGCCTAGGGTCCACATGCCCTGGGGCCAGAACTAAGGCTGGCTTGGCTGTAGCTGTAACTGTGCCTACTCTGGGTCCAGTCAGAAGAGGATCATGGATCGGTGTCCAATGTAGACTTCCTCAGGTGCCCACAGCATGTCCCCTTTACCACCTGAACCAGGCTGCCTCTTGAGGGGGAAGGTTGGAGGATGGCTTTTTTCCAGGTTGCCATGGAAACTGATTCTCTCATCTCATCTGACCTCTAGAGCCAGGTTTCTTCTCAGTGAGGGGGCAAGGAACACAAGGGAACTAACTCCTCCATTGTGGGAGATCGCACCTCTAACTGAAATCTTCTCTTTTAGGTTCCCCCAGGCACCATGCCAGCCCCATAGCACTCCCCACACCACGGCTTCTGCTGCACCCCATTGCCAGGGTGGTTGTTCCAATGAGACTGAATACTTCGAACTCCATCTGGTAAGCTTGGCTGCGGAGTGCCACCTCTTTCCCCCAGGTTCGACTCTTCACCGCATGCTTTGATCTGGTTCGTGCCCACTCATCAGAATGGTCCCGTCCAACTGTGAGCCTCCCCCAACATGCCATGCTTGAATGGTTCAGCCCTACGGGTTGGCGCTCCCCTCTTTCTTCTATGAATGGTTTATTCCTGTACTTCACCAGCCTCTCAACTACCTGGAAACCTCTTATCCCACACTCCCAGTGCTACAACTCATTTGCTAACTGAAGAAAGCCAGGGTTTGCAGGCTGAAAGTAGATGTGAGACACCCCAGCAAAATTTCTTCTTGTGAAGGGGAAGGCTTTTCTTCCATAGGAGGGACTCATCACGCTTATAAAAAGTGCTTGGGAATCGATGCGGGGAGATGTTGGGGATCACTGCCATACAGCTAACTCGTGCTTGTCATGGCCATCGTCGAATGTCACCTCTCTGATCTCCGGCCCATCCTCACCATGACCCGCTGTGGATTTGCTTTGCACACCTAACTCTTCTGCTTTCCTCAGACCTTCTGCTTCTGCAGCTCCCTCTCCTCCCTAGCAGGAAGGGATGTTCTCTAGGCTGGAAACTTGAGTTCTTGGGTTCTGTGTTGCTCTTCCCCATTCCTCATTGAGTTTCTTGAATAGGACTATTTTTTCCCTATCTGTCCGCTTTAGCATGATGGTTTGCACATTGGGGTGCCTTGCTAGACTTGTGTTGAATGAATGTTGTCACTGAATGTACCGCTTCACTGCCAAGAAGCCTACGGCTGAGCTCTGCCATAGAGCCTCCTGCCCACACCTTCTCTAGAGGATATGAGGCATTTGGGATAGCAACAGTGGAAGGCTGAGCTAGGAGGCAGCCTGCAAGGATAAAATTGAGGGAGAGCAGGTCAGGGGCAGTGTAGAAAAGGTAGCCCTGGAAAGAAGCCCAGCTTGTCCTGCATTTGCAGAATGGTCTTGCTTGAGTTAGTTACCTCATTTGCAACATAGGGTAATCAAGTACCTCCTATGCCAGGTTTTGGGCAAGAGTTAAAAGATGTATGTAAAAGGTTTTGCACAGTGCCCACCATTTAATAAATGCTAGCAGTTTCCATCATGGTTGCTGCAGGAAGCTGTGAGAAATAGAATGAGGATGCTGAGGAATGGGACTGAACTTGAAGGCAGGCAGAGCCCCAAATAACTGACTAAATATTAGGATCACTGACCCAGTAGGAAGTCAGGATTCAGGGGAGTTAAGAGAGCCCTTTGAGCCTGCCTCCAGTGTTTGCCTGGCTCTGTTCGAGAACGTGAAGGCAAACACAGAAGGGCATGTGCACAGACACACGTGATCACCACAGTAATGCAGAGGCAGACCCAGACAAAAGACTGAGACAGGAGCCAACCAGACACACAGACAGAGACAGCCTCGCGGAGTCATGTAGACAGGGATAATGACAGGAACGCGCCAGACACAGGCACCGAGGGAGACAAGATAAGCAGATATGCAGGTGCACACAGACACCGAGACCCACACACAGTCGACCCTGTTAGACTGACTGGTGAACACAGCGCCCAGTCAGAGGCAGACACAACGCCCGCAGTGACACATTAGCGGGCCAGCGCGCCGGGACCAACACTGTCACTTGTCGATGGGGGCGGGGAGGGGCCGGCGGCGGGGGAAGGCTGGGGAAGGGAATCCCGGGCGGGCGGCCTGCCCGGGTGGCTGAGTCACTGCGGAGCCTCAGCCCGCGGCCCTCCCTCTCCCCCCCGGCTCTCCCAGGTGAGAAGCGAGCCGGTAACTTCATAGCTTCCGCCATGCCGAAAGAAGAACGCAAAGGAATGGGACCCGCGGGGGTCGGTCCTGGATCCGCCCCACCTTCGAGCCGGTGCGTGCCGGCTAAATGCATGCTCAGGAAAAACCGGTCAGCGGGGTCTGGTGTCTTTGGCCGTCCAGTGTCTGCTTGCGGATCGCGGGCCTTGTGCCAAGCGTCCCTCTTATACCCCGCGTTCCGGGAGCTGCGCGGAGGGGCTCTTCTGCCCCAAGCCCAGAGAGAGTTAAGTGGGTGTGATTGATGGAGTGGTTCTCTCCTGGGACTTAAGGGGGAGGGGGTCGGTTAAAGTCTTAGAGTCCAGATCCCGGATGCTAGAGGCGGAGCTTGGCTTTGCCGGGAGTGCCCGGATGGAGAGGGCGTGGTTTAGGCCCAAGTGGCATTAACCCTTTCTGGGTGGCCGGCTTTTGGGGCTGTAGGTCGGGTTGGGGAGGCTGGATTGTCAGCCTCAGAAGTGTGTCGGCCTCCCAGCCTGGCCCCGGACGTGTGCATCTACCTTCTGTCTGTCTGCGAGAAGTCTGTGGGTGTCTGTCTTTGTGCTTGTCCCTGGTTTCCCCCTCCCTTTGGTTAGAACGAGCACTGGGAGTCGGGGAGGGCCATTCGTGCCTCAAAGCGAGAGTGTAGGTGAGAGTGGACGGCGAGCCAGCCGGTGGCGGCGGCGGTGGCGACTGAAGAACAGGTGTGAGTGTGGTGACTGCCCAGCGCGGGGTGGGGCCGTTTTGAGGGAGACAGAGGGGAAATTCCGCGGGACCGGTGGCGAACAGTGTGTGGGCTGAGGAGTTGTGTCTGCCTCTGACTGTGTGTCTGTGTGAGCTGAGGGAGGCGGGGGCTGAGTCAGTGGGAACAGGGGATGGTTTTCTGAGTGACTCACTCTCCCCCACCCCAAGCCTGATTCAGACCTTGAGAAAGGCTTTGTTCGTGGGGCGGATGGGAAGTCAGGCGCCTGCGTCCCTGGTGGGGACACAGATCCGTGGTGGTTGGCGAGATTATGCTTAGGGTACAGGAAGTTTTGTCCTGGAGCGCTCTCCTGTAGTCCATGGTGTCGTCGTGGGAGGTTGTGGATAAAGGTTGAAGATCAAGAGGACTGGAGGGACGGAACTCGCTAGTTTAGGGAAAGCTGAGTCAGTTCCCCGTGGGAAAGGGGAAGTGGCAGAGGGGAAGTGTCATCATCGCAGAAGGGGAAGCTGCATTTCCTGGCAACTAGCAGCGTTCTGGGCACTACTTCCTTAGTAGGGTGTCTGCTTCTCTGACATCTGGTACCCCGAGCTGCCGTTTGTCCACGTCTGGTCCCTCGTTCCCCACAGGGCTTGGCTGGGGCAGCCAGTTTGGGCTGCACTTGACCACTTTAGCGTTGTACGTTTCCCAGGGCTTGGTAACTGACAAGACTGCAGCTCTGGCGAGTTCTGGCCGGAGCTCCGCGTGAACTGAGGAGTCCGCGGGATGCAGTCTCTCACCAAGGCTTGGACCGAGTAGCCTGCGGGAATCACTGGGCTCCAAACATTTACACGCACAGATGACCTTGCCCCAGCGGGAGGGAAGACTGTTTTCGCCAGAACCCCTTCTGCCTTTGTGGGCTGGGTGGAAATTTCCCCACCGTGCAGACTTCTCGGCCAAGGCGAACTTTCCAGCCGCCCCCAACCCCTCGCCGCGCGCTCTCCCCCGGCTTCCTGCCCGGCGCTTTCTCCAGCTGGAGCGCTGGCCCCGCCCCCGCGGCTTTGTACTCGACACTCGCCTCTCGCCGGTCTTTGTACTCTAGACTCTCAATGGACCGATCCCGGGAGCGGAGCCGGCTCCCTACCTGCGGGGACCTGGGGTATGCGCAGGGAAGCAGCTCTGGGCTCTGAGAGTCGAGAAGGGAAAGCTGGGACTAAAGGGAACGTGCCTAGGACAGAGGAGGACTGTGTCCGTTTGGGTCCAGTCAGCTTCGACGGGAAGGAGTAAGGGGGGGGGGGTAGCGTGAAGGAGGAAGTGAAACGGGTTCAGGGTTCTTTAAGGGAGTAGGCGGTGAGAGTGGGACAGGGGTGATGTCACTGCCTGTTGGGCCCCGCCCTCCTCACCCTCCCAAAGGACCCCCCCTTACACACACAGCTTCCGCTGCGCAAGTGGCCACGTCACGGGCAACCCCCGAAATCCCCCCTCCCTTGGGGGGGTGGGGGCCACGTGGGCCGTGGGGAACCGCGTGGCCCCGGCAGGGAAGGGGCATAGAGGATACAGGAGCCACGCGAGAAGGGCCACTCCACGGTACGCAGCTTCCCAGAAGTTGGAGGGCTTGTGGGGGACTGGCTTGGGGTGGGGGGCGACCGGTGTTGAAGATTCAGCCAGGGAAAGTGGAGGAGCTGGAGGAACTTGGTATGAGATTGGGGACTTGACCGTGATTTAGAACTGGGTCCGGCGCTGGAGGTGGAGCATTCCCACAGAAGCGCGGGCGGACCTGGGTGCTGGGTTTGCTGTGATTGCTAGACCTAAGCAGTTGTACCGTGGTGATCGAGTGGAGAGTCTGTCGCTGGGTGATGTGAAGTGAGTGGGGGGGGGGGGGAAGCGATGCCTTTGTCTACGGTTTGTATTGGTCTGCTGTCTGTCCTTGGGTAGATAGACAGAGGACGACTTGTACAGTCTGTCGGGGACCAGTGCCAGTTGGGTGGATGTGTGAGGCTTGCCCTCAGGTCGGCTAGTGAGTGATTTCCCATCCTCACTAGCATGGGTCTTAGCCAACTTGAGGTTACTGCCCTGTCGGCCACGGGTTTCTGATCCGAGATGTGGACCCTAGGTGGTATCTTTGGGGTCACGTCGGGGTCACCCTAGAGCGAGCTCGTCTGACCGGCCCTGCCGCCCTCCTCAGGAGGCCGTGGAGTGCTCGGCTAACTTCGCTCCTATTGGTTCCTGCCAGGCTGTTACTGAGGCGGAGACAAGGGTGATGATTGGCTTTCTGGGGAGAGAGAAGTCTTGTGATTGGCTAAATCTCTGAAGCGTTTGAAGCTGTGAGAGGACGCTCCCACGGAGGCTGGGTTAGTAGCCGCGCAGTAGGTCGCCTTACTGGCTGAGGATTGAAAGCCTGTCACTTAGTGCAGCGGCTGGATTGTACCTATTGCTGACTCCCTCCCCGCTACTTGTCCCATATTCCTGTTACTCCACTTGCGGACTTCTAGGGGCTCCTTGCCTGTGTCTTCCTGCTCAGACAGTTCAGACCAGGCTTGGGCCCTGACTGTACTGGCAAGCTCAGTGTACTTTTCTTCTCCCTATAGAATTGGTTGTGGAAGGCCAGAGACTGCCACCTGGAAACAGTGGGCACTCTTGTTAAGAGCAATTGGAGCGGGACCATCGTGCCAGAGAGCTGGGGCAGGGGGGCGTGCCCCGTCTCCAGGGCTCCTGGGGCCACTGCTGACCTGGTAAGGGAAAGATTGGGGTTGGTTTAGCTGAGCGTACACCTGAATGTTTTACACCCCCCCCCCCCCTTACAGCATGATCTCTTGTCCCTGACTTAGGCTGGATGCATCGGGCAGTGGACCCTCCAGGGGCCCGCTCTGCACGGGAAGCCTTTGCCCTTGGGGGCTTGAGCTGTGCTGGGGCTTGGAGCTCCTGCCCACCCCATCCTCCTCCTCCTCGAAGCTCATGGCTGCCTGGAGGCAGGTGAGATTTGGGCCCTGAGTTCCCTCTCCAGGCATTTCTTTTCTTGTCTTCTATCCATTTCCGCCACTTCCCATGAGTTCCTATTATTTTGTGGGCCCAGACACCAGCCTTACCTGCTCTTCATCTCGCTAATGTCTCCTTTCTAGGGAGCAGGATTCCTTCTGGCAATACATAACGGACCTTTTCTCTTTACAGATGCTCTGCCAGCATTGGGCAGCCCCCACTCCCTGCTCCTTTACCCCCGTCACATGGCAGTAACTCCGGGCACCCAAACAAACCTTATTATGCTCCTGGGTAAGTGAGGGGTTCAGAAGTTCTAGATTGGAGGTAAAACTGGGACTTTGAAATGTTCCCCAAAGCCTGATCACTCCCAATGCCTTCTGCTGTGTAGGACACCTTCCCCTAGACCCCTCCACGGGAAGCTGGAATCTCTGCATGGCTGTGTACAGGCCCTGGTCCGGGAGCCAGCCCAGCCCGGGTTGTGGGAACAGCTTGGACAACTGTATGAGTCAGAGCATGACAGTGAGGAGGCCGTATGCTGCTACCACAGGGCCCTTCGATATGGAGGAAGCTTTGCTGAGCTGGGGCCCCGAATTGGCCGTTTGCAGCAGGTGGGACGAGACGGGACACAGGTGGCTGAGATTGCGCCGTCTGGCTCAGTGTCTCTAATCTATCTTAATTGGCCCTTTGCCCCGCCCCAGGCCCAGCTCTGGAACTTTCATGCTGGTTCCTGTCAGCACCGAGCCAAGGTCCTGCCCCCGCTGGAGCAAGTATGGAATTTGCTGCACCTTGAGGTGAGGGGGAAGCTCAGTGAATCAGGGAAGGGAGTTGAGGGAGGCTGGGGCCTATGCCAGCATCTCTCTATTTGCAGCACAAACGGAACTACGGGGCTAAGCGAGGGGGTCCTCCCGTGAAGCGATCTGCTGAACCCCCAGTGGTACAGCCGATGCCTCCAGCAGCACTCTCTGGGCCCTCAGGAGAGGAGGGCCTCAGCCCTGGAGGCAAGCGGAGGAGAGGCTGCAGCTCTGAACAGGTGATTGTCAGTGGGTCAGCAGGAGAGGGTGCATGGCCAGGGCAACGAGTAGGATTTTCACACTCTGTTCTTTCTCTTCTAGGCTGGCCTTCCCCCGGGTCTGCCACTCCCTCCACCACCATTACCACCACCACCCCCACCCCCACCTCCACCCCCACCCCCACCACCGCTGCCTGGCCTGGCTGTTAGCCCTCCATTTCAGCTGACTAAGCCAGGGCTGTGGAACACCCTGCATGGAGATGCTTGGGGCCCCGAGCGCAAGGGTTCAGCACCCCCAGAGCGCCAGGTGAGCCCCTTAACTGTCACCTCTTACCTCCTGTAAGTTCTGTTGCTTCCACTCCTCACTTTGTGACCGTGTTTATCTCCCTTAGGAGCAGCGGCACTCGCTGCCTCACTCATATCCATACCCTGCTCCTGCCTACACTGCTCATCCGCCCAGCCACCGGCTGGTCCCAGCCACACCCCTTGGTCCAGGTCCCCGACCCCCAGGAGCAGAGAGCCATGGCTGCCTGCCTGCCACCCGTCCCCCCGGAAGTGACCTTAGAGAGAGCAGAGTTCAGAGGTCGCGGATGGACTCCAGCGTTTCACCAGCAGCATCTACCGCCTGCGTGCCTTACGCCCCTTCCCGGCCCCCTGGCCTCCCCGGCACCAGCAGCAGCAGTAGCAGCAGTAGCAGTAACAACACTGGTCTTCGGGGTGTGGAGCCGAGCCCAGGCATTGTATGTGATGGTCGTGGGCTGAAGGTGGGCGGAGGTGTCTGAGGGGCCAGAAGAGCACTCTGATCTCTCTCTCTGTTCGCAGCCTGGCGCTGACCATTACCAAACTCCTGCGCTGGAGATTTCCCCTCACCAGGCCCGCCTGGGGTCCTCGGCACACAGCAGTCGGAAACCATTTTTGACAGCCCCTGCTGCCACTCCCCACTTACCCCTACCACCTGGGACCCCATCATCCCCTCCACCCCCCTGTCCTCGCCTCTCACGCCCTCCACCACCCCCTGCTTGGATGAAGGGCTCAGCCTGCCGCTCAGCCCGAGAGGATGGAGAGATTTTAGGGGAGCTCTTCTTTGGTGCTGAGGGACCACCCCGTCCTCCCCCGCCCCTTCCCCACCGTGATGGCTTCTTGGGGCCTCCAACCCCCCGCTTTTCTGTGGGCACTCAGGATTCGCATACCCCTCCCACTCCCCCAACCACCACCACCAGCAGCAGCAGCAGCAGCCGCCACAGCAGTAGGCCTACTGGGCCCGCACCCTTCCCTCCACCCCCCTACCTGGCCAGAAGCATAGACCCCCTTCCCAGGCCATCTAGCCCAACACTGAGTTCCCAGGACCCACCTCTTCCACCACTGACTCTTGCCCTGCCTCCAGCCCCTCCCTCCTCCTGCCACCAAAATACCTCAGGAAGCTTCAGGCGCTCGGAGAGCCCCCGGCCCAGGGTCTCCTTCCCAAAGACCCCCGAGGTGGGGCAGGGGCCACCCCCAGGCTCTCTGAGTAAAGCCCCCCAGCCTGTGCCACCTGGGGTTGGAGAGCTGCCTGCCCGAGGCCCGAGGCTCTTTGATTTTCCACCAACTCCGCTGGAGGATCAATTTGAAGAGCCAGCTGAGTTCAAGATCCTACCTGATGGGCTGGCTAACATCATGAAGATGCTGGATGAGTCCATTCGAAAGGAGGAGGAGCAGCAGCAGGAGGCAGGCACGGTGCCCCCACCCCCACTCAAAGAGCCCTTTGCATCTCTACAGCCTCCATTTCCCAGTGACACAGCCCCAACCACCACTGCTGCCGCCACCACTGCCACCACCACCACCACTACCACCACGACCACCATCCAAGAAGAGGAGAAGAAGCCACCACCAGCCCTGCCACCACCACCACCTCTAGCCAAGTTTCCTCCACCTCCCCAGTCTCAGCCCCCACCGCCTCCACCAGCCAGCCCGGCCAATCTGCTCAAGTCATTGGCCTCTGTTCTTGAGGGACAAAAGTACTGTTACCGGGGGACTGGAGCAGCTGTTTCAGCCAGGCCCGGGTCCTTGCCCACCGCTCAGTATTCCCCTAGTTCTGCATCAGGTGCTACCGTCCCCCCACCCACTTCTATGGCCCCTAGCGCCCAGGGCTCCCCCAAGCCCTCTGTTTCCTCGTCATCTCAGTTCTCTACCTCAGGCGGGCCTTGGGCCCGGGAGCGCAGGGCAGGTGAAGAGCCAGCACCAGGCCCTGCAACCCCTGCCCAGCTGCCCCCATCTCTGCCGCTGCCCCCTGCTCGTTCTGAGTCTGAGGTGCTAGAAGAGATCAGTCGGGCTTGTGAGACCCTTGTCGAGCGGGTGGGCAGGAGTGCCACCCATCCTGCAGACCCAGTGGACACGGCAGAGCCAGTGGACAGTGGGACCGAGTCACTGCTGCCTCCTGCACAGGCTAAGGAGGAGAGTGGTGGGGTGGCAGTGGCAGCAGCGGGTCCAGGTAGTGGCAAGCGTCGGCAGAAGGAGCATCGGCGGCACAGACGAGCCTGTAGGGACAGTGTGGGTCGTCGACCCCGTGAGGGGAGGGCTAAGACCAAGGCCAAGGCTCCCAAAGAAAAGAGCCGAAGGGTGCTGGGGAACCTGGACTTGCAGAGTGAAGAAATCCAGGGCCGGGAGAAGGCCCGGCCGGACTTAGGTGGGGCTTCCAAAGTCAAGACACCCACAGCTCCAACGCCCCCACCTGCTCCTGCACCCTCTGCTCAGCCAACACCCCCAGCAGCCCCCATCCCTGGGAAGAAGACCCGAGAGGACGCTCCAGGGCCCCCAGGGGTGAGCCGGGCAGATATGCTGAAGCTCCGGTCACTTAGCGAGGGGCCCCCCAAGGAGTTGAAGATCAGGCTCATCAAGGTGGAGAGCGGTGACAAGGAGACCTTTATTGCTTCTGAGGTGGAGGAACGGCGACTGCGCATGGCAGACCTCACTATCAGCCACTGTGCTGCTGACGTCATGCGTGCCAGCAAGTAAGTTGGGGACTGTAATACCCAAGGCTGCCTACTTGTCCTGAGGATAGGCTCCTGCTCATTATCCCGTGTTTCTGCTCGTATTTTGTGGTCTTCTCACAGGAATGCCAAGGTGAAAGGGAAATTTCGAGAGTCCTACCTTTCCCCTGCCCAGTCTGTGAAACCGAAGATCAACACTGAGGAGAAGCTGCCCCGGGAGAAACTCAACCCTCCCACCCCCAGCATCTATGTATGTATGCCGTCTGTCCCCAGAACCACTCTTCCCAGAAGGGTTAGATTGGGTCCTTAGAGCCTGAGGAAAGGCTCTGACCCAGTGTCTCCTGGTTGTCTCAGTTGGAGAGCAAACGGGACGCCTTCTCGCCAGTGCTGCTGCAGTTCTGTACAGACCCTCGCAACCCCATCACCGTGATCAGGGGCCTGGCTGGCTCACTCCGGCTCAGTGAGTTTGGGGTGGGGGGTATGCAGAAGGCCGTAAGGATGTGGTATGTGGACTCTTTGAGAACCACCCCTGTGCTTGCAGACTTGCCACAGCGACCCTAATACTCAGTCATGCACAGGCAGTGTTTGAGAAGTGCTCTGTGGTGTGCCGGCTAGCCTTGAGGTCTTTTCATCTGTCATTTCTGTCCCCAGAAATAGACACACGGGAAGGTGGCTCTCAGAAGTGATTAGAGTCACTTCTGATTGTCTTAGTGATTAGGAATGAAATGAGCTGGGCAGTGGTGGCACACTCCTTTGATCCCAGCACTTGGGAGACATAGACAAGCAGCTTTCTGTGAGTTCGAGGACAGCCAGGGCTACACAGAAAAACCCTGTCTGCAAAGACCATAAACAAAACGAATGAAAAAAATGGATCATAGACTACTTCTGATCCGTGGTTTGGCTTTTTTCTTTTTCAATCTTTTATGGTGCGAAATTTTAAATCAAAGGAAGCTATATAAATGTAAGGGTCAATCTTGTTTCCTTTCTACCCTTACATCTTTCCTCTCACTGAGTGATTTGAGGGACATTTTAGGCTTGGCTACGTCTTTCCCTAGTTCTTGTGACCACTTGCCATTCCCTGATTACCTACTGTGTGACCGTAACCACATCTGAGGATTCTATTTTAAAGGCCGAGGCTGAAGTTGGAGAAAGGGGCTGGGGAAGGACCCACAGAAGGCAGCCTTGATGGCTTCCTGGGGCTGGGATTCTTGCCGATTCTTTAGTGCTGAGTTCTGCCACGTCTGTGTCCACTTCTTCAGAGGCCTGGCCAGTTAGAGGGGAAAAGATGAGTTGGGCGTCCTGTCCTGACGGACATCCCGTTTGGCACTCTCTTACAGACTTAGGCCTTTTCTCCACCAAGACCCTGGTGGAAGCAAGCGGCGAACACACAGTGGAGGTCCGCACCCAAGTGCAGCAGCCCTCAGACGAGAACTGGGACCTGACAGGCACAAGACAGATCTGGCCCTGCGAGAGCTCCCGCTCACACACCACCATCGCCAAGTACGCGCAGTACCAGGCGTCCTCCTTCCAGGAGTCGCTACAGGTGAGGATCATGCCCCAGCGGTGACGGGTGCTGGGGTCTGACTTGAGTGGGCCTCAGGAGGTCACTGACCCAGACCTGCCCACTCATCTGACCAAGCAGGAGGAGAAGGAGAGTGAGGATGAAGAGTCGGAGGAACCAGACAGCACCACGGGAACCCCTCCCAGGTAAAGTAGAATTCCTTCCGTCCATCTAGCTTTGGTCTTCTGCTCCCTTGGTTTGCCAACAGCCTCTCTGTGCTTTTGCCCCAGCAGCAGTGCACCGGACCCCAAGAACCATCATATAATCAAATTTGGCACTAACATCGACCTGTCTGATGCCAAGAGGTCGGTGAGGCTGGACCAGTGAAGCTGGGATGAAACCCTGCTCAACACCGATCTGGGATACCTTCTTACGATGTTGGCATGTCTCTGTTCCCAGGTGGAAGCCCCAGCTACAGGAGCTGCTGAAGCTGCCTGCCTTCATGCGAGTAACATCCACAGGCAACATGCTCAGCCACGTGGGCCACACCATCTTGGGCATGAACACCGTGCAGCTGTATATGAAGGTCCCTGGCAGCCGAACGCCAGGTGTGCTGCTCACCCTGAGCACGGTGCGGGAAGTGCGCACTCAGTGCTTAGTTGTTAGCCAATGAGGGTAAAGGGTGGCTGCCGGCTTGCCTCAGACAATCCGTGATGTTCTATCTCCCTCTGCAGGCCACCAAGAGAATAACAATTTCTGCTCTGTCAATATCAACATTGGCCCCGGGGACTGTGAGTGGTTCGCAGTACATGAGCACTATTGGGAGACCATCAGCGCCTTCTGCGATCGGTGCGCACCCCCCCTTGCTAGTCACCCCACCACAATTGGGTCCTTGGGTCTTTCACCTGACCCTGTCTGTGACTGCCCATTGCACAGGCATGGTGTGGACTACTTGACTGGTTCCTGGTGGCCAATCTTGGATGACCTCTATGCGTCCAATATTCCTGTTTACCGCTTCGTGCAGCGCCCTGGGGACCTTGTGTGGATTAATGCAGGGACTGTGCATTGGGTGCAGGCTACTGGCTGGTGCAACAACATTGCCTGGAATGTGGGGCCCCTCACCGGTGAGAGGGTGGGGTCTGATCATCATGGGACAGTGAAGGGTGTGTGTTTGGGGGGGGGTGAGTCCTGCTGGGGAGAGGTGGTGCTGGGGGCTCTTGGAGACTCCTTAGTGACCTTCTCCGGCCTGCAGCCTATCAGTATCAGCTGGCCCTGGAGCGCTACGAATGGAACGAGGTGAAGAACGTCAAGTCCATCGTGCCCATGATTCACGTGTCCTGGAACGTAGCTCGAACGGTCAAAATCAGCGATCCGGACCTGTTCAAGATGATCAAGTGAGGCCCCTGTTTGGCTAGCAGCCCCTGCCACCTGACTTGTTTCCTACCCTTGTTCTTCCGGGTTCTCCTCATTCTTCACCTGCCTTCATCCACGTCTGCAGCGTATTCACAGAAGTCACTATGCTGAGGAACTCGACAAAACCCCTATTCTCATCTCACAGCCTTTGTTTACTGTGGTATACACACACACAGACACACACACACACACACACACACACACACTTGAAATGCCAAACGTGATGTACTTGAGACAGGAAATGCAACTCAGAAATGAAAGGGGAGGGCTGCCCAGGGAAGTTGGTGGAGCTAAGGTCTTGGGGGTTCAGCCCTGCCCCCCCCAGCCTTGGCACATCTCCTGGAGTCTTGTCTCGATACCACCTTTGGCTCTTCCCCAGGTTCTGCCTTTTGCAGTCAATGAAGCACTGCCAGGTGCAGCGGGAGAGCCTGGTGCGGGCTGGGAAGAAAATCGCTTACCAAGGCCGCGTCAAGGACGAGCCCGCCTACTACTGCAACGAATGCGATGTAAGTACGAAGCTCCACGCGGTCCCCAAGGTGTCGACAGTAGGCCGCCTTCCTGCTGACAGCCCCTTCCCTGGCTAGGTGGAGGTGTTCAACATCCTGTTCGTCACGAGTGAGAACGGCAGCCGAAACACGTACCTGGTGCACTGCGAGGGCTGTGCACGCCGTCGCAGCGCGGGCCTACAGGGCGTGGTGGTGCTAGAGCAGTACCGCACAGAGGAGCTGGCGCAGGCTTACGATGCCTTCACGCTGGTGAGAGCTCCTGGACTCCCGAAGGGGCGCGGGAGCGGCCGGGCCACACCCGCCCACCACTGCCACCACTGAAGCTGCCCGCTTTCTTTCCACAGGCTCCAGCTAGTACTTCGCGATGAGGCCGGACGCCCCGCTCGCCCGCCCACGCAGGGCGCGGCGGGGCCACCAGCACATGCCTGGGCTGGACCTAGGTCCCGCCTCTGGCCGGGAAGGGGGTCGGGCCCAGCCCTTCCACCCTTATTGGCAGCTCCCCTCACTTAATTTATTAAGAATTTTTTTTTTTAACAAATATGAGGAAAAAAAGGAAAAAAAATGGGAGACGGGGAGGGGGCTGGCAGCCCCTCGCCCACCAGCGCCTCCCCTCACCGACTTTGGCCTTTCTAGCAACAGACACAAGGACCAGGCTCCGGCGGCGGCGGGGGTCACATACGGGTTCCCTCAAGCCTGCCCGCCGCATGCCCGCCCGCCGGCAGACGTTCGCGGCTCGTTGTGTATATAGACATTCGGCAGCCGAGGTTTTTAATGAGATTCTTTCTATGGGCTTTACCCCTCCCCCAGGCCCTCCTTTTTTACTCCCAATGCTAGCTGTGATCCCTGTATATGTCTCTGTTTATTCACTTGATTATGGTTTGTATTTTTGTTCCTTTTTTTGTTTTTGTTTTTTAATTTATAACAGTCCCACTCACCTCTATTTATTCATTTTTTTTTTTTTTTTGGGAAAACCCGACCTCCTGCACCCCCAAGCCATCCCTCCTGCCTCTTTGGGAGGCCTGCTTCTGGGCTCTCCTTGCGCCCCAGTATATATGTCCGGGCTTGGCCCGTCGGTCTCCGGTCTCCGTCCGCCCGCGGCTCCAGCCGGGCTCTCATGGTGCTCAAACCCGCTCCCCTCCCCTACGTCCTGCACTTTCTTGGACCAGTACCCCCACTCCCGACCCGACCCCAACCCCACCTGAGGGTGAGCGACCTCCTGTACTGTAGGGAAGAAGTGGGAACTGAAATGGTATTTTGTAAAAAAAAAAAAAATTAATAAATAAAATAAAAAAATAAAAGTTTTAAAGAAAGAACTATGAGGAAAAGAAACCCTGTCCTCCCCAGCCTCGGCCAATTTAAAAAACATTGGACACCTTCACCCCCTCCCCCCCCCCTTTTTTTAAAGGCGTGAAATAGCCCAGGGCAGGGCCTCCCTGGGGCAGGGACACCCTGGGGTGAGTTTCTCTGGGGCTTTATTTTTATTTCTTAGTTCGTCTTCTCCCGCTGGGGCTGCGGAGGGGTGGGGGGGTTTACAGTCCCGCCCCCTCGCACTGCACTGTCTCTCTGCCCCAGGGGCAGAGGGGTCTTCCCAACCCTACCCTATTTTCGGTGACTTTTGTGTGAGAATATTAATATTAAAAATAAAAGCAGGAAAAAAAAGACCCATGTGTTTTGATGATGACTGTAAAGAGTATTGGTTGAAGGGCCGGGAACTGATGGATTGATGGGAGGGCAGCGTAGACCCTGGCGGTAGCGAGCCCCTCCCCAGAGGCGCCTGTGGAATGTCCAGAGCAGCGGTCTGCTCCTTGGGATGAGGATGCCTAATCCTAGCGCTGCATTCCAGGATAAGGTAGTTGGGGGTGGGGTGGGGTGGGGAGAGGCTGCACCGGGGGAGGGGCAGGAAAGAAGGCTATAAGGGCCGCAGCCGTGCCGGGCGGGAACCAGCCAGGCCATGGCGGAGGTCCCGGGAGCCCAACGCTCGGTTCTTGCTGGCGGCCCAGAGCCCCGGGATCCCCTAGACTGCTGGGCCTGTGCAGTGCTAGTAACGGCTCAGAATCTGTTGGTAGCTGTCTTCAATCTTCTCCTGCTGGCTTTAGTCCTGGGGACCATCTTGCTACCCGCTGTCACCATGTTGGGCTTCGGCTTTCTCTGCCACTCTCAGGTAAGCATGGACCCCAAGGGGTACGCGTGTGTGGTGATAGTAATGGGGTGTCTGAGCTACAACTTCCCGACCTGGGATGTTTCCCTCCGGGGCAGAGTGTGACCCAGTGGGCCAGAGTCTGACGTCTCTTATCTGCACAGTTCCTGCGCTCTCAGGCACCCCCTTGCACCGCGCATCTGCGGGACCCAGGCTTCACCGCCCTGTTGGTCACTGGATTCCTGCTGCTGGTACCGCTGCTTGTGCTTGCCTTGGCCACCTATCGCCGCCTCTGCCTGCGTCTCCGCCTGGCCGACTGCCTAGTACCCTACAGCCGTGCCCTCTACAGGCGCCGGCGCATCCCACAGCCGAAGCAAATCCCGGCCTCACCAGGGTCCCGGGCTGTTCCCACACCGGGAAAGGTCTGGGTTTGAGGTGCGTTGAGTCAAGAATTCTGCCGATTGTCCTCCTCCTGGACGCGGAAGGACTTGAAGCAAGCTCAGGGGTATTCTGCCTTGTTCTGCTCCTTACCATTGCCCGAGTTCCTTTGATGGAACATCACCACCTGTGGATCCAATGCTGGCGAAAATTCCCATGCCCCAGAACATCTCACTAGAATCCTGAACGTTTGAGTTGGACCCTGCACATCTTCTGTGTCCCCTAGCGTAAATAGGAGAGCTGAACTTTGTGCCTTCCTTAGCTGGTGCAGCTCCTCTAATATTTACGGGACTGAGGAACAACGCTAGAGAAGGAACCATCACAAATAATAAAAAATTTATGAAATGAATGTGCTCTGTGAATACAGGGGTGGCATATATACAGTTGTCCCTGCCCAGGGCTCAGGAGTAGGAAACAAATCCCTGAGACTACAAATGGGCAGACCAGAGCATCCTCCAGCATCCTGCCTTTCCTTATCGCCTTAGTCCGTTCTTCCTGGTTAGACCCCAGAGTTCTGACCCTGACCCCAAAGTCACTTCTCCATTAATAGCGCGGAGGGGGCCTTGCTTCAGCTGCCTACCCAGCTCCCCTTGGGGACCCGAGCCCGTTCTCTGACCCCAGCTTAAAGGAACTAAGTGTTGCCAGGCCGGGGTGGGAAACAATGGGTCTTCCGGAGCAGGATGACACCCCCTCCCTCTACAATCTGAAGCAGTAGCGTGGGAGGGAAGATGGAGGGGCCCACCCTAGGGCTTGTTGCCTTAAAACTCTTCACTTGAGGGAGATCTTGGTACTCCCTGGGCAGAGAGGGCGGGTTGTGGAAGCTCGTGAACTCCGATAAACCTCTAAGGGTTATCCCTGCCCTGACATCGGACCTACACACAGACACGGGCCACTTTGGTCATAGGGTTTAATGGTCTCAAAGAGAAGTGCGATTGTGGTCAGAGATACGGTGCCCCTGTCAGGCTCTCCCTTTGGACTTCAATAGAAACGATGTGATGTCCTGGTACCATGGCCAGACCCAGCACACGGGGTTCTCCCGCAGAAAATGAATCTGGAAAAAAAGGTCAGAGCATCAGAACGGCAGGCAAGCATCGGTCTCGCCCCGGAATACGAGGGGTGCAGTAACGCCCGCAAGAGAAAGCCTTGCGGTGAGTTTACGCCGCATTTCCGAGGAGGTGTGTATTCCCTGGACACTGACCAGACGGCTTGAGGAACTCCTGCGCAGAGCCCAGGATGACATTACAGTCGCGATCGGTGCACAGGAAGCAGCCGACTAGTGTCCTTCCATCTGTCATACGAATGCGCATGGTCTTGTTGAGCAATGCCTCTAGTTGCTGACGGGCACGCGCAGCCGGCGAGTCCTCCTGTTCCCCGTCAGAGTCCTGCTAGGGCAGGATACGAATTCAGGCGCGCACGCCCGTAGAACCACAGCTCCCAGCAGCCCCCGGGCTTCAGGTGGTGCCGCGCGGGCTGCTGGGAACTGCAGTTCTCTTTTCTGTCCTTTCCACCCCGTTCCCTTCCCCGCCCGATGTCGCGGCCCGATTGCTCCTCCAGAACCCGCGCCCACGCTAACCCCGGCGCTGGAGCTGCTCTGACGCCGACTGCAACAGCCATTTTCCTCTCGTAGCAGCATGGTTGGTCCAGCTCCGGCCATTGGCCCTAGGACCTCCTCTGGGCCTTAAACTTCCTAAGAGCGTTTTGGGCCGGGTATTCAGATCTCGCGAGTGCTCCCAAGCTCTTCCCTTTCGTGAGATCACAACTCCTCCGCCGTCTCCGGGTCGGCCACTCCAGAGATCTCGCGAGATTTTATTTCAGCCCGGGCTTATAGACGCCTACTAGGCTATTACAAGAATATCGCGAGAACGTTTCCTGAAATTTCTTAACCATCCTTTAGAATGTGTGAAATTTGAAAAGCCTCTAGCTTGGTCTCTCCACCGTCTAAGTAACTCATGTAACCTTACTGGATCTTCATGTTCTCTAAGAAGGAACTCAACAACACGCTCAGTGCCGGAATCAAGAATATGTTTCCGGTAAATACAGGCAGCCCAAACCCCGCCCTGCTGACGCAGGGTTTAACCTCAGTGGACGGTGGCCGGAAAAGGACAATGGTTTCCATGTTAGCGACAAACGCACTCCAGGCAGCTCTCTAACCTGGTAGTTGTAGGACTGCTGAGGAGCGAGGAAGTAGTCAGAGAGAGCTGGTGCCCCTTACAGGACAGGAGCCATGCCGCGCCGGGGCCTAGTGGCCGGGCCAGACTTTGACAATTTTAACCGTCGGTACTTCACGCCGTCGGAAGTAGCGGAACACAACCAGCCCGAAGACCTGTGGGTGTCTTACCTGGGATATGTGTACAATCTAACGCCGCTTGTACAGGAGTTTAAAGGTGAGGGGCACACGTGAAGGAAGGGCTGGGGAGCAGGTTTTGGCGCTTAGGTGACCGGCCTTTGACGGCCGCTGTTCCTTTTCAGGGAACCTACTGCTGAAACCCATCCTGGAAGTTGCAGGCCAGGACATTAGCCACTGGTTTGATCCAAAGACCAGAGACGTAAGTTCTATTGGAATGTAGGGTTGGTGAAAGCGGCGCTGGAGAGCGGAGATAGGGGAGGGACGGCGGGGAATAACCAGAACCCGACATAGTGACTGCCCCTATCCTCCTCTCTAAACTCTCGCTTTTTTAAAGATCCGCAAGCACATAGATCCGCTGACTGGTTGCTTGAGATACCGCACCCCGCGGGGCCGTTTCGTGCACGTCCCACCTCCTCTGCCTCGTTCAGACTGGGCCAATGATTTCGGGAAGCCCTGGTGGAAGGGGTCGAATTACCAGGTGGGGCGGCTGTCTGCCAAGACCCGGAACATCCGTATCATCAACACGCTTACGTCGCAGGAGCACACACTGCAGGTGAGACCTGGTGCCAGGGGACAGGCTAAGTAGGAACCAGAAATCATTTCTGGGAGCTGTGTTTTCTCTCTTTCACATTACCATGACAGAGGAAAGCAAAGACCCAGGTTCCCAGGGTTGGCAACTCTAGGAGTATGTTTGGATTACAGCTACCACAGTCTCCTTCATAGGTCCGGGCCAGCATCTTAGTGATGGTGGTCCTTCGAAGGGCATGTATGCTGTACAGACAGCAGTTGGACTTTTTGTCTACTCAATCGCAAGCGAGGGACACTGGCTTTGACTCTATCGAGTCATTTGTTAGAAGTGATAGGACTCTGGTGTCTTGGTTGTATGCTGGAGCTTCAACTTTGCTTCTCTGGGACTATGGAGTGTCTGAAGGGTGCTATCTGCTAATGGAGGCACACTGATCCAAGGTCTCTCGTGTCAGGAGACTGATTCACTTCTGGCATTCTCTCTAGTTTCCTTAGAGCAAATCCTAAAGGAGCTAGGCATAAGAGCCCTTCTCCTGGCCTTTGGAGAGTATGTGTTATGTTCCATACAGAATTCTAGAGGTGAATACTTCTGTGTTCTTTAGGTGGGGGCTCTGGAATCAATGTGGGAAATTCTACACCGCTATCTCCCCTATAATGCACATGCTGCCAGCTACACATGGAAATATGATGGGAAGAATCTGAACATGGACCACACCCTGGCAGAGAATGGGATCCTGGATGAAGAAGAAGAGTTTGACTATCTTAATATGGATGGCACACTTCACACACCTGCAATACTGCTCTACTTCAATGATGACCTCACAGAGCTATAGGAAAGGAGATGTGTGTGCATGGAACTCAAGACATGTTTGAGTTTGCCTCTTTCTGTGCCTCGAGGAAAAGAGGTGTGGGTCTGTGGGGCCTGGGCCTAGACCTCTGTTGCCCTCTGGGAGCTGGCCTGTGGTTCTTTCCGAAATGTAAGGGCCCTTATCTCTAACTCCTCTATGATTTGCTCAGAGAATATTGGTGGGAGGAATACTAGAGGAGAATTAATCCTTAGAAATGATAGGAAGAGAGCCACCGTCTCTCAGTTCGGAATGTGCAGAGGAGGTGGAACTCAGGCAGAACTCTGATAATAAGAGAAAAACACATGGGCATGAAAGGATGGAAGTTTTTTTTTTTTGGCAAAGATGAGAATTAGATGTTTGCTGGAAGATGGGATTTACAAAGACGGGATCCAGAAATTCCTATCACCAACTGTGGTTGGTGTGGTTGATTCCCTTTCTAAAGGTGGTTAGCAGTTGACAGCACAGGAAAAGTGAATGGCTGTCAGTTCATTCAGGATAGAAATTACGCTGAGAGTTTTATGCTTTTTAATACAGCTATCCTAGAAGGTGAATACTGGTAAGCTATTTCCTTAGTTTAGGAGGTTCAGGAGCACAAAACCACATTAGTAACCGAAGAGCCACAGTGCGAATCCAGGCCTGCCAAACTTTGAAAGTCTGGCTCTTTTCCATGTAAAGGGATATTCTCAGTAGCCTCACTTAATGCTAACATTTCTAATGGCTGCTCTCAACCATGTTTTTGGAATGTGAGCTTGTCCTATGATTGTTGCACAATGGGGACATGAAGCCTATTGTGTAGTCAGCATTAACTCTGTTTGAGTAGTCAAGGGAGTTGACTAGCAGAGCACTCTAGGGATAGAGGCAGGGAGGCCGAATTTCAGCCAAGCATTAGCTACTGAGGCTGCTTCTTTGTTATTATTATAGCACTACTGACTATCTGGGGCAACAAGATATTTACTGACTCCAGGAAAAATAAGAATGGAGAAAGGGCCCGTAGATCAGAACATTGTAGTGAGGGGTCCAAAAGGGAGCATGTTTCCCCTTTCCTTTCACGTTAACGGAAGGCAAGGAAGAGAAGGCTGACTTTGTAAGATGGTGAGGGGGCTTGATGGGGTCAGAGAGGTGAGAGCTAAGGGAGGCAGGCAACTCTCCTGGTGACTGGCTAGATTTGGTTCCCTTTATCCCTAGAAGGCAAGGGGAATTAAGAATAACTGAGAAATTGAACCAGGCATGGTGGCATAGGTGCTAATCCTAGCACTGGGGAGGCAGGAGCAGGCAGATCTCTATGAGTTCAAGGCCAGCCTGGTCTACAGAGTTAGTTCTAGGACAGCCAGAGCTGTTACACAGTAAAACTGTTTACAAACAAACAAAAACCAAAACAAGCAAAAAGAATAAGAGATGAGTGAACTTCCCCGCAGCAGCGAGCAAAAGTGAGTCAAGGAGACTGCCTCTTCCCAGGCTCAGCCTCAGGTTTCAGTGGAGGGTGATGTGACCTCTATGAGACCCTGGGTGGTTACTGAGAGGGTGACTGTGGGAAGCATGAACAGGGTGGGACCAACCCTGTTGATTTCAGTGGTTTCTGAATCCACTGATGATGACTTTCACATAGTCCCCTGCAATCTAAAAATTCAT